TTTGAATATATCAACTAAAATTCTATATTGGTGTTAGTTATACTTCCTGTTGAAAAATAAGCTAGTTTTACACAGCTCCCGTTTATCGGACTCGTGATCTAAGTACAACGGGAGCAGTCATTTTCAAACATTTCTTCTTTGTCGGTCTCGCGAGAGTCTCGTTCTTTATAAGATATCTCATAAACTTTTCTTTATAAGATATCTTATATCTTTTATGAGATATCTTATATAATATATAAGATATCTTATAAAGAAAATTAATTGAGATATCTTATAAAAGATATAAGATATCTTATATAGTATATAAGATATCTTATAAAAGATATAAGATATCTTATATATTATATAAGATATCTTATAAAAGATATAAGATATCTTATAAAGAAAAGTTTATGAGATATCTTATATCTTTTATAAGATATCTTATATAATATATGAGATATCTTATATAATTTGGTTAAGTACTGGATCAACATTGCTCCATAAATAAATGACAACTTGGCTTGCCATAATGCCCCGTCCTTAGGACAGAACCCATTGTCTTCCTCACCTGGGCGAACGTTCAACATCAAAGCCAAAAGCGAGGTGTTGCCAAGCAAGGCGCTCGGAAAAGTAGTTAAAAATAGAAAGAAATATGAAAATCCCAAATATTGCAATGAGTGCAGCAGATTTATTTTGGTCTTTTAGCAAATCCCCATTCTGCAGGGGTTTCTACATAGGTCGCCACTTACGATACACATGTAGTGGGTAACAACAATAAGTGCATTCTATTCCCAATCCCCGACCTGCAGCGTTGAATATGATATACAGGCAAGTCACATACCTACAAAAATCATCAATGCCTACAGGAAAGCAGTAGGGATGACAACTCTGGAACTCATTAAAAAAGAAACACTCACTTGCAAAAAAGGGGAAATAACCCTAGTAAGAAACCTGAAACTCCAAAAGAATATAAAAGGGTAAGGAACCAAATAAAAGAGGGCCACACGGAAGCTAAGAACTTTGAAAGGGAACACTCCATAAAAGCTAAAGAAAACCCGAATGCGATTTCGAGCTGTATAAAACCAAAATCAAAAACGGAGGTATGTGTTTGAGATCTTCATAATGATCAAATAATCAAAACATCCCCCAAAACAAGCAACGGTAATGAAAAGGCGAATATTTTTAATAAATCCTTTGAAAGTATAAAAGAAGAAGAAGGTGATATCCCAACAATGGAAGAAAACGATTTATACTTGATATAACTTACTTGGAAATAACTAAATCGCAGGTTACCATGAGTTAAAGAAAGACAAATCTCAAGGAGCTGAGAAATCGTTGATGATTGGATGAAAGCTCAGATAACTGCCATATACGAAAAGGGAGACAAATAAGAGGCAAGTAACTGAAGGCAGGTGAGTCCAACATTAGTCTTTTTTTAAAACAATGGAGACACCTGTAAGGGACCATATTGTTAATTGCATTTGTATGAGAATGAACAACAGGTTAACACCAAGACAATTTGGTTTCCTCTCTGGGAGATTACAACACTATAGACGTTGGAAATGGTTGGTAAATGGACAAAAGCGCTGCATGTGGGTTTATCGACGGACTGTATATATTTAGATTATAAAAAGGCATTTGACAAAAAAATGCTGTTAATCATACAAATTCTGAACTAGAATTATGTCAGTGTGACATTAAAGATGCTCACCACTTAAAAAAATGCTTCAGTAACACACTGACCATCAATATCTACAATAATAACTCAGATATGTGTTCTGTATTCTGCTAATTGAAAATCAGGTCAAGTGATGATGTTGCCTTTGGTATGATGCCTTAATAACATTTCTCCCTCTTCTCTTTCTTCACCCTCTTTAAGTGTGATGCTTTGTTGCTATTTTCATTAATTAGCATTCTCCAATGATGTGACATGAGCATTTACGTGCAGAAAGGCAATCGGTGAATGGGTAATAAAGAATAGGTGCATTGTGTGCTTGTGAAATGAAGGATAATTAATTGATGCATGGAGAAAAGAGACAGTGTACTCCTTTACTTTATTTATTTTTTATTCATAATAATAATTATTATTAATATTTGTAGTGACTTTATTTACTGTCATTGAATATACAAAATCTCACAAAATGTTCTTGGAATATATTTGAACTATATTTCTCAATGCGACTTTACCAACGTAATAGTTATTTCCCTTACACCGGATTGGATACTATTTTGACACGGCGCGAATTCTTGTCAAACAGCAGCGGCAGTTGTGTCATGTTCTTAAATTGTTACATTTTCATCAATAAATACACCAGAAATATCATGCTGTGTTACAGAATTGTTTGATAAGCATACGCAGTTCACATATCGTCTCGTCTCATTACCGTTATCAACCAAAGCACGATATGTCATATTACGTTCCCGTTTGAAACATCAAAATAGAGGTTAAACTTTATCACTCATACGGTTTATAGGTATATATATTTACTTCTTCTTTCTACAGATAGCGTCAATGCTTGACAGTCTTCACATGTGCTTTCTCAAATCATGTGTTTCACACGTGACGCGTAACACTCCTCATCAGACCTCAATCCGAGTTGCTAAAACGCTCAAACTTAGTGCACGAATTTCACCACCACAACACTCGTAGAATGCACCGTAGATTAACATTTTGTTTTCAGCAACTATTTAAAGTATGGATTGTTATTTGGAGAAGAGTATCAGAAGACTTTATGTAACCCACAGGTGAGTGTCAAGAGATTCTACTTTCTATTTACAATAACGACATTATATAGCGGAAGCATGCAAAACTGAAATATGCGCACGCACCCCGAACGGAAGTGGGTCCGTCATTTCGTTCTCTTGACAGAATTAATAAAAAATCATATGTTACTTTGAATCAACAGATTATTGCAAAACAGAACACTAGAGTGGTACAGTGTAGCTAACGGGGAGCAGTCTGACCGGAATCAAGTATCTTCAGGAATTCAACAAGGATCAGTTCTTGGACCAATACTGTTTATAATCTTTGAAAACGATCTTCTGGGCATGGTAAACTCGTCTAACTATGTTCCTGATTGCAGATGACATCAAATTAAAGACATCGCAATATTTAAAATCGCCGAGCAAGAAGAGGATATGTCAATGGCTATTACAATTACACCCACACAAACACATGCATATTGGTAAACTACAAAGGAACAATACCCATCATACCCCATCAATAAAGTAAGCTTGGCACACACAGAGTAGGAGAAATATCTTCGCAATACAATGATTCTAACCACTTATTTGAAGATTTGATTTTGACGTTTTTACGTCCGCTATTACGCCCTTTAGTTTTGTATTCTTCATAATCAACGTTATTTGGATAACTTGCTTTTGTTCAACAGCCCGAGCGGTATTTGTAATACAAATTAAAAAAAAAATCTTCTCCATTGCTTTGTTGCGATATCGTTCATTTCAAATAGTGATAACTCGCTAACATTTAAGATTTTTACACCATTTCTTGATCATTTCATTCATATTGTTACCAACTATACCAAAAACACGTTTGTAAAAACCTGTGAAATTCTACAGATGCAGACAAACGAAATATGCTTGAAAAGGTTAAAGAGATATCATACACAGCTAAAGAGGTCGAGTGATTATAAGAAGAGCATTTCGTGGTTAGAATCAGGACCTGTTTGTTTAGTGGAATACATTGGTGACGGAAGAGGTTTCACAATACGAGAATGTAAATGTGACGGAGCAAGAGAACATCGATGCAGTGAGCCATTAAGACTCCGACATCTCGATCGGTGTATCAAGATGTGGTTTTAGAAGATTCTGGAGATGTCCCGCATAACCTGAAACAGGTGTAGAATTAAAAACTCGGGATCGACAGGACCCTCAACCTTTCAGCGTGCTATGTAACTATATTAGTATATAGGAACACAAACACAACCAATCATGTTAGGACCCCATATTTTTACACTGGAACGGCTCCTTACTGTCATATTTCAGATTTGTCGCTCATATAAGGTCGCTGCTTGACACTGATGTTAACGAAACGGAGATTAGTGGAGACTCTCTTGTAATAAGGTCAGATGAGGAAAAATCTATACTGAAAGCAGTTCGCCATAAGTTCCCAACGTCAACACGCGTCCTGTGTTCTAGACACATTGAAAAAACCCTGCGAAGACGCCTTATTAAAAATATTGGCGCCAACAGCACACAGCAAAGCGAAATTCAACAGAAGATATTTTGAAGCGCTGGTATTCTTCATTGAGCGCAACCAGTGGGGAAGCATACATGTATGATGATTGTATGCTAAAGCATACACTGAAATTTGCAAGATTTTTTTTCTTAAACATATGTTTTTATTGATTTCTTTTTTAATGATTTATATGGACAGTCCGTATCAATCATAAAAAGGAATGAAATAAAAACAATATTCTTGAAAATTTTAGTCTGATGAAATAGTGTTGTTATGCTATGTCAATACAAATGGACAAATCTCAAGGTTTATATAAATCAAAACTACTGCGTGAAGTACAAGGTTGATTAATATTCATATAAATAATCGGATTTTTATTACTTGTTAATAATATGACTAAAATGAGTTCCCAGAACGCGGGAGGTTGCTTCTAGGGCCTGGTAGTATTTGTTTCCCAGCTATAGTCCCTCCCATACCCTCCCCTCCTGCAGCGCTACGCGCCTCGGACGCTCGACCCTCTGTAAGCATAGACTCCTAAAAATGATTTGCTACGTCACGGTCCCTGGTTCACGGACCCTTCTCCCTTTCCCCTTCTTGTCGGAAGGGATATCATCCCTCTTTCGCGCACACATTGGCATGCTGCCTACAGCAGGCCAGTATGAAGTTGGAAACCATTTTTCCAAAAAAAAGCTACATCAGCTGCTTCACTTTTCCCAGTAAAATATACTGTTACAAGTTTCCGCGTAAAGAAACTGTTGATCGCGCGCTATTAATACTTCTTTCTATGACGTCACAATAGGCGATATCGTCACGCGAGATTTCCTGTCGTCATTGTCACTGTTGCTAGCGACGAAGGAAGCTACAGTTTATAACTAGACGTGCGAAGAAGGTTATTATTCAGATAGCATTCAAATCAGGTCCAGAACATTATTTAAGGTACGTACGATTTCAGTATTTTCATTTTTCTACATGAATATAGTTGTTTTGATTCAAAGGAAAGCATATGAGTACTCATTAATCATACCTGTCTAAAGCGGAGTTACTGTTTAACTCATCAATCATGCATGTATAAAGTGGAGATAATGAAAATTGACTTCACGTTCCATTGGGGTTTTTTCAAAGCTCGCACGTTAGATAGAAATTGTTAAAATTGTTCACAACATAATTGGACTTAATGGCCCCTGCCGCATTGCTACATAATACCACAGGAGTGAGATGAACTCCTTGAATCACACCATCAGGTTTGACAAAAACGGTTTACTTGTTTCTGGAATCTTTTAACATATTGTGATAATATTGCAAAATAATTCGTCAGTCTGGAAAAAGAGGATTGAACTTAACAAAATACACCATTGGGATTATTTCATGTTTAGTTTGTAATCCATTTCATCTATCCACTGATTTATTTGGAGTGGATGGATGTTCCATATTGGGTTATCATTAAATTACAAAAACAAAAACAAAAAAACTTCATCTCATTGTCGGATCTTTGACAGGCCCTGTATCCATGAAACCGTTCTCATGCTCAAACTCGGATTCTGTGCCGAAATAAAATTTCTTGTTTCTGTGACTAATTTATAAAAAATCAATGCAATAAGAAATAAATTAAATTACTCACCGAAATTGGAAGTCTAACGCCCTGAATGACATGTAAAAGTACAAGCATTTAAGATTCTGTTGATAATTTGTAAAAAATGTTAGGAGGACGAAAATCCGAATGCTGTTTCTAATGTTAACAGTTAACGTGTAACCGTGTTACAAGATTTACGCAATTCACAAAACAGTCAGCTTGGTACAATATCCATGCTTGAGAATGAATACGGGACCCGGCCTTTCTAATCACGATCTCAGACAGATAGCAAACAATCAAAGCCGTTGTTTATGTAACTGTTGTTTATTTCCAAACACTCGGAACGTCTCTAATGTTCCGATATATTTCCTGTTTATCCATCGACGTAACAAGGTTACATTGTGAACATATTGCAGGTCAGGACAACTTAACATGTAACACCATAATTCGCAAAAGCATTTCATATTTATCTTTAATTAAGATAGACGTAACATATATATTTCATTGATAGTGATATATCTCTAATAAAAAATATAAAAAATATCTTTGAACCAATTGAAAACATCTCTACAGTAATTGTAATAAAGATATCTGTAACTGATACATCCCATATGATAAGGACTATAAGCATATCTAGCTTTCTGACCTGAAATACGCGGTTACGTCCCCTTATTACCTGCCGAGGGAGAGCTAGGTGACTAAACGCAGTCGCTACCGCGGGTCCGAGTCACGTCACGGCACCGTATTGTATATTTGAGCTTGTTTCATTCTACTCAGCTGTAAATGAGTATGTAGTTGAGCAGTGCTAGAAATGTTGAATGCAAACTGTTAGCGCCGAAATGGCAGCTCCGGCTACATGCTCCCCAGGGAGTTGAGAAAGATATTGACTGGTTGTAAAGGCCCTATAACCACGGATAACAATTTGTGAACCGCCTTGAGACGACCTACGAACTAGGTTGTGATAAAGCGGTATATAGGAAACTCGAATAAATATTATTATTGTTTATTTCTTTAATAGCTATCTCAATTATCCTTACGTTCAGATACACCTATGCATCTTTTTAGAGGCTATTGTATCAATAATACACCTGAAATATTTTTAATCACACTCACAAATGTTTCAGAATTTACAATGGAAGATGAACAACTGCGAGAGATTGCACAGCTTTTGTTGAAAGATGTAATAGAGAAAGCTGTTGATAAAATAAAAACCGAAAAAATGGAAATGGATGAAGGTCTTGACCAGGGGGTAGATGACATTGTAGGGCTGACCATTGGACGGTCAATCAACGCCATCCGCGAAGGTCAAAGTTCACCAACTGATGATAGGATGGAGGGATTGGGTGGACAATTGGATAATGCAGTAGACAGCATTGTAGGACTGACCATTGGACGGTCAATCACTGCAATACGCGAAGGGCAAAGTTCACCAACTGACAATAAGATGGAGGGAATGTTTGGACTTAACAAAACCTTGGTTACTGCAACACCGGAAGTAACATCTAGCACAACAGGAAGCAAGCCTCTTGAGATTAAAGACGAGCGAATCAAACAAAGTGCTGGAGGAAACGATAACCAGCCTCATATTTTCACCTCTAACCCCGTCAAAGGTATTTACCTCTTTAGCTTTAAGTACTTAAATATTTCATAAAGTGCGAAGGAATGACATGTCATGTTCTTTCAAAGACGTTGTCAAAAAACTGTATTTCATTTATTATTAATGTTATTTAGAAATCGTTTAAATCGAGTTTGTTCATACCATTATAAACATAGTATTGCCTTTTAAGTTTTAATCAAATATTAAATGTTCGAATTGGTTTTCTTTTCGGTCCTAATTCTTAAAGACGACAAGCCGACAGGACTCAGTGCGACTACAACGCATGCGCAGATGAGACAGGGCTCTCACAAGAAGAATGTACTGGGACGATTGTTGGACAGAATAATCAAGGTAAGGTTACTGTCCGACTTCTATCGATGAACATTTTTTATTAGATTATTGATCAATGTCTTACCATTCTAACAAAAACTCAAAACTAAAATGTATATGATTTCTGAATAAACATCAAACAATATCACCACTACATGTAATTTCATAGAAAGGGTTGTTCAATTACACGAGAAATAAGTGACTTTGAACGATGTTGTCAATGCCTGGTTGATATAATAATTACTTTAAAATCAATTGAAGTAATACAGAATATCAATACACCATGGAAAGTACGTACTAGTTTGATATAATTTATGTAACGTTTTATTTTAGAGAGACAAGAAAGAGGCCAAGGAATTTAATGCTGCTACAGCTGGTGAGAATAGTATTCATTCGGAAAAATTCGTTCAGATCTGGTCTTTCAGTAGATAATACAAAAAAAACCACAATCAAAATGAATCAGAAAAATACTCAAGCCATTCCGCTTCATTAAAGTCAATGGTCAAACCACTAGAAGTGTTCCGAAAGGAACAAAAAGAGGAACACTGGGGAAAGGCCCGAGTGGTTTTCCAAGCAATTGAGTTTAGCCGCTAGGAAAAAGAAAAAAAGAAGTTGTTTGAGGCAAATCAGGCTCCGGACCGAACCTTTTTCCCGGTGCCTTTTGACTGTTTTTCAGCATTCTCTCTGATTGTAGGAAAGGCTCTTGTGGTTATGCGATTACGTTGCTTCAACATTCCTAGTCTAATGTTACTGTACGGAATTAAACTTTATAAAAAAAAATATCAGATCAATCAGTCATTTTTGTTCTCACTTCTTTTATAAAACATCTTATCATAGTGGTTATATAATGTGACTCATTTTAATTGTCCAATAGGTGGCAGCACCAACAGCTCAGTCGGTGGAAAGAAGAAGAGTCCTTGCAAGGCCCACAACAAGAGAGACTGGATACGTAGAAATCTCCTGTGCTGCTTCGTCAGACAAACAGCCAAAGTTGAGCCATTAGGCCTATTTGACTGAATACATCAAGAAAAACAAGTCATGAACATTATAAAGAAAGAAAGATCCTTTTTAAACAATGGGCCGGAAAGTCGGAACATGATGTGACTTCAATATGATTAAGTAATATTTATATAAACAAATAGAATAAAAGTTGAATGATGTTGATATCTGTGATTTTTTATTTAAATTTGAGAGGTCAATGTGGGGTCAACCACAGCATTTGCCTTTATGTCATTTAGTATTTAATGCATGCAAGCTGCATATTATAACTTTGTGTATTTTACTTCACCAGTGTTTTAACATACTTCAACCCTGTGACCTGGAATATAGGTCGAGGTCATTTCTTTTCTGAACTTTTGTTTGCACCATTGCCAGTATGTTTGCTGTTATAACGTACAGCTTTTAAGTGTTTAAACTTATTTGGTCTGTATCATCTTGAGTTTAAACTTCTATGTTGAAGGAGTGCATTTATAGTCTATTGGGATTTAGTCTTTGTTTAAAAGATTCCAGGGTTTCAGCGCACACAGTGTTGTTGGGTAGGGAATTCCAGTATCTGGTTGTTCGTGGAAAGAATGAGTTCCTATATAGTTCTGTGTTGGTAGCTTGCTGTTTAAAGTTCAGACTGTTTTTAGTGCGCATTCGTGTATTTGTGTTTGGATGTAGATGTTGGTCCACAGGTATAGCCACTAGCCCCTCAATGATCTTATAAAAGAGAACTAGTCTCTGCTCACGTCTGCGTTCCTCGAGTGGTGTGATTCACAGTTCATTCAGCATAGATGTAACACTGCTGTCTCTTTTATAGTCGGCACAGATAAATCTCGCAGCTCTGCGTTGGGTCTTTTCCAGTGAGGTTGTGTGTTTCTTTTGGTATGGGTTCCAAATTGTGGCACTGTACTCCAGGAGTAGTCTTATTGGAGATCGGTATGCTGTTAACTTGAAGGTTGATGGACATTTCCTCAAATTTCTTCTTAGGAATTCTAGTGTGGAGTTTGCTTTCCCAATAGTTCTGTTGATATGGGAGTCCAATCTGAGCGAGCTGCTCATGATTACTCCTAGGTATTGGTTTTCTGTCACTTCTTCCAGTACGGTGTTTTTGAGTTGTTATCTGTAGGTACTTGGTGTTCTACTTCTGGCCATTCTGAGTATGTAGCATTTCTTGGTGTTGAAGGAAATGCCCCAGTGCTCGGCCCACTTCTCTAGTGCTTTCAGATCAGATTGGAAATCAAGATGGTCTTGGAAGGTATTGATCGACTGTACCAGCGTGGATTACTACCGATCCTCCAGATAACTGGTACACACTGAGACTCCAGGAGGTGTGGGGTCTCGTCGATCTTCTGTGCCCTGATCTTCAAGGCAACCCAACCACAATAAACGACAAATCTTATTTTCTATTTCATTGTACATTTATTTTTCTATATTTCTATAATTATTATGCTAACTTTTGATGGGTTATCTTATCATTGTTCGACTGGTACTGTAGTGATTAATAATAATTTGAAATAAAATAAAATCAATCAGGTTTATATGTAACTTGCTGTTGTTTAAGCAGATGTATATTATTTAAGATAAAGGAAATTTAAACGGGAATCGCGTTGCCATGAGACTCTAGGATGAGCGCAATATAAAAGACAGACAGACAGACACACTGATAGACACTCTGATTAAGAAACAGACGGACAGACATCAGAATTGGAACAAAGAAAAACACATCTGAATAGTTGTGTAGAAATTTCTGATGATGTATATATTTTAGACATTAAGTGGTTGATGTACTGGATAACTTCAAATGATTCATTTTACATATCCAAAAAAATATTTGAAAATATATTAAATCAAATTAAATGACCATAACTAACCTATCAGATACTTTTAGTTACACTAATCACGTGATATCAACGTCCGCATATTGTAGCTGAGTAACTAATATCAGATCTAGATCAGGATAGAAAATAAGATTTTAGAACTAATAACGTATCTGGTTGAGAGAACTGTTTACGTCAGCAAAATTTAATTCGCTCAGTATTCATTTTAAATTTACACATTGTACAACAACGTTATGTTTCAGTTTTATCGCGTAAACTATAAAAAAAATCTCATAGCAACGAGTAGAGTTTTATCAGACAGATACAGATCACGTATCTGTTGAAATTTTAACGGAAAACTACGAATATCGAGTGTCATATGAATACAGGATACTTGTTACATGCTTACGGAATTAATGTATATGGCTTTATATGCTTTAATCAATACGTATGTCTACAAGGATAGTTTAACCTTGTAGTAACCGATTATAAATGGATGTATGATGGGTGTTTCTTTAAGTAACGTATCTGGTAGGACATCTGGTATCTGGGATCGATAAAAGAATACACCTGCTGTTACCCACTGCATGTATCGTTAGAGCGATAACATGTGGGAACCTACTGCAGAATTTAGGATTTGCTTCTGTGCCCTCTACTTGGGGGTGGTCGGGTGGTGCAGTTGATAGCGCACTTGCCTTTCACCAAGGCTGCCGGGGTTCGATTCCCCGATCGGACATGAAAAGGTATGGGGTCACCTGCCCGACCATGTGGGTATTCTCCGGGTACTCCGGTTTCTTTCCACAATGAGGGCCAACAAGAGTGATTAATATAAGTTGAAATAACTTGTTTCATAATTGTTGTAAAATAAATAAAGTTTATATATACACAAAAGCGATCAACATAAATCTGCTGTACCCATTGCAATGTTTGAGATATTTATATTTCTCTCTACTTCTAACTACCTTTCATTTCCTAGCGCCTTGCTTGGCAATACCTCACTTTTTGCTTCAGTGTTAAGGCAGGTCGGTGGGTTCGTCTCCTGGTCGGGACGTTATTGTTCCCTGCTTGACGTATAGTACGGCATTTAAGGGAATGGCAACAGCTGGTTCATCCGTTGTCAGTACAATGTGTCCGGGAGAAATGATATGCTGGGTGCCTTCGGCATGGTAGTATCTCAGCGAGATAGCACTATAAAGTCAGCATTAGATCCGCGCTATCACAAAGGGGCAAAATACCCCAACATACTCTGTCTCCAACACACATACACACATGCACACGTTACATCACACACACGGAGGCTAGTTCTTAAATGACCTTAGATGTTGATTGGACGTTAAACAAAATAAAACTTAAAAAAACAGAACTATCGTATTTATATGTATATTGGCTATATTATAGGTGATGGAAGGATATATGGCGCTTGATAAGTGAGAATTGGCGACCAGTGCCCGTGGATAGAAAGGTGTCTACACTGAGGGACGAGATGTGTTGCATCATGGGATTACAATCGGGAACAGATTTCACTACTTGGAATGTGCCCGTATCGCATATATCCAATTACATTTTTGTTTTGTGTTTTCTTTGCGATAATGAAGAATTGAAGACTCCTGGTAGTGCAGGCATATTCTTAGCTGTCCTTATAGCATCCTAGTGGAGGCATTGAAAAAGTAATGACCTCTGTTACAATTGCATTTAAATTGTTACAGTCTATACAAAATATATAGTTGCTATTGGGTATATTTGAGATAGACGCCCGGGTGGTCAATATATCATGATCACTACCGGACTGTTCTGGGTTTTATCGGGCTGGGCGTTCTCGGGCTGTAATTAGAAGTACCGCCGACAACCTAGTCTCGGTCAACAAGACGCTTAATCACTTGTAATTCTATGTTCGACGATCACACAACAAGAGTCTGATTGAACGAGACTATCGACAACCGAACTAACCGAACCGGCGACAACACGCGTGATAATAAGGTAAATGGAGGGTAGTGTAATATATTAGCATTTTACGGGAAAAGTAAGAAAAGTCATAGCACGAGACCAATTATATCAATAGATATTTACGCTGATAATGCATCTTGAAGTCCAGTGTCTTGATAAAACAATGCTACGAGTCCACGTGTATTTTGCTGAGAATTCCGTTTAGATCTACCTTGTGTAATTTTAACTGATGGTTACCCGGTAAGAGTGTAAGAATATATTTCTCAAAATTACACGGATTTGTCATAAAGTCATATTCAGAGCTTAACTTGGACCAATCAATCGATCTTATTGGTGAATATTCGATGTCAGTGATCATATTTTCAAGGTCAAAAAAACGTTATTAATTATGGATCCGGTTGTGAATCCACAAATGATGCTAGGTCGAAAATGTTTTTTTCGCTGAAGACAACATACTCCAGTTGTTTTAAATAGTTGTTATCACCTGATCACTAAGCGATACTCTTAAAAAACAAAATATGATAATTTATTAAATATGTGAATGGGATATACTTACTTTATTGTTTTATTCAACTACAGGATACTCTAAAACGTTCAATATACTGAACATTATTTAGAGGCGTCAGAGAGATCGGTTATATCTATCACAATTTCTGCAATCACTGTTACTGCACTCATTTATTTTTTATGCAAATTTATTTTATACCTGATTACAATACAATAATTATATATTGTGATAGATAAATTGTTATAACTTGTTGTACATTTTACCAAATAAAATTGAATTGATTTGATGATAGGTGACAATCAATGATCAAATAATCATCTAAATATGATTTGTACAATTGTTCAATTTTGAGTCCAATGTAGAGAATTCCTATAACATCAGAGGCCGCTGGTCGGTTGCTTTTTTAACACGACTGTGTTGATAGTTTACTTGGCGCTTGTCAAAAGTACCTCGCCATGTTAAAAGTCCTGGTTTCTGTATTAGAAATTACATTTTAATGACTGGCAGCTAAATCTCAACAAAAAGAAATCTGTGCATCTGCAGCGGAACTGGACTCGGTCATCATTTAGAAATGTTTATAAAGTCTTTGAGCGAATTGCTATAGGCATGCAAAAACCTCCTTGGTCACTCATTTAGAACTGAGCTTAACCTATAATCGCCAGCGATTGACCGATTCCAATTCTGCTTCATGGCATTCTCATGCACTCACTTCTTTGCAACAAATTTAATTTTCATTTTATAAGATTATATTTTATTTTGCATGATCCTCTTGGTACCTATACATGTGCTTGTTCGAGAAGATAACGGAGAAATAAAGAACATACCAGCAATTTTAACATTCCATTGATGTTTCAATGCGGGCTGCCAAGATATCCCTCTGGGATCTTGTTTATTTTATCATTAACAGGATTTTGTCTTAATCTCTACAGATGAATGATATGATGGACATCATATAAGAACTTGGCAAGGAAATTTAACCTAAGGAAAAGACGGAAAAGAAAAAGGAAAAAGAAGAAGAAAAAACCAGATCGGTCCCTTGGACAACCTTTGACCCTGAAGAGGATGAAACCTGTGAGCTATGGCACAGTGCTGTTCATTCTGGTGAAGTTCATGAACTATGTATTAGTCGTTCCTGCAGGTGCATCGTTGGAACCCAAAGGTATAATTAGCGTACCTGGGGGAAGAGAATAACTTATTTATAATAGTTGAATTGATCCTGAGGTCTAGCCCCACCCCTAGGGACTGAACACCTGGGAAACATAACATAAAAGTCTATTTACTGAAATGACTTACAATTAGCATGCTTGATCTGCATTTGACTTTATTGTATATATCCAAGATTTCATTGTTACTAAATTCAAGTGTGAGTTTAGTTGCTTAGTAAATGTATTAATGTATATATAACATTCTATATGAACTTTTAAAGATTTAGTCAACTACCAAGTGTAATTTTCGCCTAGTGTTGAACTTGCCAATGTAAATCTAGTAACTTATGCCGAGTAATAATGTATCATGTTTGTCATGTCAACAGGCCCACCGAGGCTGATCAATATGCCCATCACTGACCTTGACTACAAGGAGGGGGAGACAATGAAGATTAGCTGTGACATGACTTCGAGGCCCCGCCCCATACAGTATTGGTACAAAAGTGGACGCCAAATGTGGCCACATCACAATCCAAGGTAAGGATACAGTGGTTGACCCCTACAAATGTTTTGTAAACGGAGATGGAAAAATGCACGGCCAGACTGAAGTTTGAACCCAAGACCCTCCGAAATCTGGATTGACAATCTACCAATTGAGCTACCTGGTCACCGACGATCGACCCAGTCTAGTTCCGCTATATTCCTCTCTCCCTTTTTTAGCTCACCAGTCCGAAGGCTTTATCCAAAGAACTAAAGGGTATAGAATCTTCATATTTGACTGTTGGCTTTCTGAGATAGAGCCTGACAAAGTTTGAGAATGAAAATTACTTTGACCTACTTTCAATGTCACAGGTGTCAAATATGTCAAAAACATCAAACCACTTCTTCTGAATAATCAAAAGGCATAAAGTTATAATATTTGGCTGGTGGCTTCCTGGGAAAGAGCTCATCAAAGTTTGCGAATGAAAATGACCTCAACCTACTTTAAAGGTCACAGAGATCAACAACATTTTAAAGGATTTGTTCTTAAGAACCAAAAGGAATGAAGAACCAAAAGGAATGGATTCATAAGATTTGGCTGGTAGCTTTTTGGGAAAGAGCTAACAGGAAAAAAAATATGTCCAGCAACTTCTGAAGAAGAATCAAAAAGCATAAAATCTTATAATTATATTTGGCTGGCAGTTTCAACAGATGAAGCTGACAAAGTTTGCGAGGGAAATATTTGTAGTGCAATATAATATTTAATGAGAATATTTTGCTATGACTGCTTAATATTCAGGTGAGCGATACAGGCCCTCTGTGCCTCTTGTCTTAGTCTTCACCCCCGCAGACATCACCGTATTTACAACCCTTGTTCGAGTATCCCCTTGCCAAGCATACACCCAGTGCTTGAAACAAGTGTTGGTCACAGGTACCACTGTAACATGAGAGGAAAAAAGCACACAGTCTAGTTCCGCTACAATTTTATCCAGAAACTGTTTACTCTATGCATGGTGTGCCAAACCCACTGTGAATATTCTTCTCACAAATCAGTTGTTCCCTTATGATACCTCAGACATGGTATGGAAGGAAACTGGAGTACCTGGAGAAAAACCTTGTGGCTGGGCAGGTAACCCCATCCCATATCATGTCAAATTGGGACCAATAAAAGTGATTTTTACAAGATGACAAAACTTGTTTGAAGATAGTAAAATAAATGAAAGTTCAGTATAGAAAGAAATCAAGTTGTAAAAGGTGTGTTGCCGTTCTGCCAGTTATTTACAGTTGTAGAGTATTCCCACTTACTGTGTAGCTGGCTTGCCAAACATTGGTTAGTTTATTAACATCATTTACACCAAAATCTGTATCGGGGTATGTTTGGTAAGACAGACAATCTCCTCTGCTGAGATATTGCAAACCTAGTACTTTCAGTCTTACCAAAACACATCACCACATGTTTACGGCCATGAGTGGAATATTTGTACTTAGTTTGGTTAAAATCGGCTCAGTTGAATATAAGAATTCGAAAAATGTGCCAGCTAAATCTTGAAATGCAGTTGGAGGCGATTGAGAGCAGCAAGGGGATACCCGAACCTGGGTTGTAAATAGTTGTGTGTGTTTGGGGGCGAAGGCTTAGAAAAAGGAGGGAAGAATGTAGCGGAACTAGACTGGGTTGATCATCAGCGACCAAGTAACTCAATTGGTAGAGCGTCCATCTAGAGTTTGGAGGGTCCTGAGCTCAAAGTCTGGTCTGGCCTTGCGTTTTTCCTCTTCTATTTCACGTGCAAACATGTTCTGATTCCACACACTAATGCATACCTTTGATTCCAGGTATAACATCACACGTACAATGCTGGTCATATCTCAGCTACACTTGAACGACTCCGGCGAGTACTCCTGTCGCGGCATAAACCAGTACGGCAGCAAAGAAGTTATATTTACGCTGAATGTTCGACCAAGTAAGTTCATTTTACAGTAGAAGTTATATTTATACTCTGAATGTTCTATACCAAGTACAATGTACTGTAAAATCAGATATCTTTGTGGGCCTCAAATTCTGTGGTTATCACAAAAAATGCACCATTTCATGAGTACATTAACTTGTGGATCAAAAATACCCACAAAAGCAACTAAAATACTTTTACGGGTAGTTTGACACTAACATTCAGTTGTAAATCTTGGGATACCAGAAAACCATGTTCTCTTCTTACCTTATTTATTAGGAGACTGTTCTTGTCTCATTTAGAAAACTCTTCAGGCCAGTTGTTTCAAGGTGTTAGGCTGTATCACTGCTGTTTAATGACATTTTTCAACCTCTGATAATTCGGTCAATATACAAGGATAAAAGCGTGTAATTTTGCATGTATCTGTAATTTTAATCTACTGAATTTTTTTATATCTGGAAAGTTTTTAATATTCAAGAATTGTGTAAAAAGGTACACAAACAAAAAATTGGAAAGAACTGCACAAGGATTATAGGTTTTGCCTTCTAAAATTTCCATTCTAAGTATTTCTCACTCAACTCTGTATTATAGAGGACAAAGCACGAAAGGCAGATCAGCAAATGACCATTGTCCCCTCCAACATGTCCGCCACACTGGGACAGTCCGTCAGACTGGAATGTAGCCTCATACTTGACCAGGACACTCCAGAGCATGTTTCGTGGGTCAAGCGTGACTCTCTCAATCAATCTGTCACCAACGACACCATTATACAGGTAAGTACTGATGACACTGGAAATCGTATTGTCCTTCTGTCTGTATTTTGGTACGTCTTTTGGGGCAACTGAAAGTGTTTCTTTTGTCCCATAATATTTATTCAACTTTCTTTATTTGACAGCTATGAAGCAAGTTATCATAAAATTATACTAATCATTCTTGCTGCCCATAAGAGAGTGAAGAGGGTGTCTCAATATGGGAGGAAACCACAGTACCCAGAGAAAACTCCACAGGTCAAGCAGGGTTGTCTGGCATCCTCGATATCCAGGGGTATCGCTTACTTTTGCTCTCTACACCCCTGTAATATGTCATAGCGAAAATGAAGGCACGTGGCTAGCTATTTGATTGGTATCGGGTAAAAACAACTGACCAATCACTAGGCTGATACTTGTTCTTTGAAGATTACAAAGGAGCGACGCCCGACTTCAAAACCTGTCATTTTTTACCGTTACGAGACCGTGAGATTCTTTTGATGTACATCAAAGGACCAAACTGGTATTCTTGTCTCATCCACATATTGCTGCACATATTGAACCTTCGATTTTGCTATGACATATTCCAGGGGTGTAGAGAGCGAAAGTGAGCGTAACCCCTGAATATCGAGGATGGGTGGTCGGGTTGCGCAGGAGATAAGGCACTGGCCTTCCATCAAGGTGGACAGGGTTTGATTCCCTGATCAGACCTGAAGAGGTATGGGATCACCTGCCAGACCATGTGGGTTTTCTCTGGGTACTTTGATTTCCTCCCACATTAACTCTTTCTGTATCCTAATTATGGTACGGAATCTGTACTGCTTATTGTTACTAGACTCGCCCTTGCATGCGTAAAAATAATGGCAAATTATCCATGTATTTTTTTGACGAAGTGTAAATCCTACAAGAAATGAACAGGTAACTGTGAACTAGGTCACTTAAGTCGATACTGACATGTAATAACCGTCATTCTGTTTCCACGATATTATCTCGCTATCTTGTAGACGAGTGTGTCGAACACTGATGAATCACCTGTCCTGCACCTGTCAAACCTTACTAAAGAGAATGAAGGCTTATACACCTGTATCATAATTAGCGTGGGAGTGGAACACTGTCACACCTGGCTGTGGGTTACATCTGAGCCAGGTAAGTTTTTGACTGTCACACTTAGTGGTGGACACACCTGAACCAGGTAAGTTTACAACAGTCACAATCAGGTATATTTGCTATCGTCTTATATTCCCTTTACTGTGAGACGATGGAATTGTGAAAAATTGAACTTCACGTCAGATAAACTGTTACCTTTGTTTTACTTGAGTTGCTTTAAAAGAAAAATTGCGTCACGTTAAAAAAACGTCACTTTCTGTTGCAGTGGAGACATCTATAATATATCCAGGACTTCAAAAGAACACCATGCTGGCTGTGTATGTCGTCATACCTGTAGTGACACTTGTCGGCATTGTGGCTGCCGGAATTCTTATTTATTGCAAATGGAAATCAACAAGACTATCCCATCAGGGCGTGACATACTTTACCGTGGAGAAATCATCCGATAGTACACATGATTTGGTGACGTAGTGCTCTGTCTGTTTGGCTTAAATGAAAAGTTTTGAAATTAATGATTGCCGTCAACTGTCCCACCTACAAAATCTAACTTTTCTTAACCTGTTTTACCGGAAGTTTCTATTTCAAAACCCTATGTACATGACCAAAAAAACCTTTCAAATATAAAATAATACAAAATATGTTATATAGTTAAGTAAAGTTATATAACAAGTAAATGCCTTTAGTACTATACATGTACAATTCAAAAGAGAAAACCTTAAAGAGCAGTTTTCTAAATGATTTTTAAAAGGTTCTATAGCTTAGGCAAAATAGATGTGTTGTTGGCAGGTCAAGCCAAGTGATTCACACTTTCAGTGAAGATGAACACTTGCATGCCTAAAACACACATGCATGGATGTATTTAGCCGTGTGCCATAAGGCTAGATGTTAGCTCCTATTAAGACAATTCTTGCATATTGTAATTTGTAAAACATCTTAGACTGGCTTATTCTAGCCCGACAGGGTAATACATCAATGTGTTTTAATGATAACAATAAAACTGGTAAATTAATTTCCATGAGGATATTTTTTGCTGCTAGGAAGGTCAAGAGCAAACTATTAATTTTGAAGTTTGAGTACCAAAACTAAAAAATGACTCATGTTTCTTATATTATGTAAAGTTGTACAACAATTAATTATATGATTCAAAATTCTTCAAATGAACAAACTCTTTCAATACTGAATTTATAAGTACTTGTCATCAGCTGTTATTTTGGAAATAACCATGTACCAGATAAACTTGTGAATCTCATATCCTAGACTTGTGAATCTCACATTACAGACTTGTGAATCTCACATCACAGACTTGTGAATCTCACATCACAGACTTGTGAATCTCACACCCCAGACTTGTGTATCTCACATCACAGACTTGTGTATCTCACACCCCAGACTTGTGAATCTCACACCCCAGACTTGTGTATCTCAAGTCATAATGTATTTGAAAATCATATCATACACACATGTATCTCCCTTCATAATGTGTGTATCCAACATCATATATTACGTTTGTATCTCATGTCGTACACATATGTATTTCACAACACACACTTGTGTATTCAAACTGAACATTCCATTTCATACTCTAAATTACATTGTTTTCTTCCTTCTTGATCAAACTATGGTTGCTTGGTTGCTTTCGTGTACCCAAGTAGAGGGCACCAAAAGTTTGATTAAGAAGGAAGAGTACAATGTAAATAAAAAGATCCTAGATTTTGCATTGGGTGCAGCAGATTTATCTTGGTTGCTTTCGTGTCCCCAAGTAGAGGGCACCAAAAAAAATAAAAAAAATTACAGGGGGTTCCCACATTAGCGCCCCCTTACAACATACAGTGGGTTACGGAAGGTTTATTTCAGTAGTTTACAGACTATTTTTCCTAATACACCTTGTTTTTGGCCTTGGTGACGAGCCTTAACAAGCAAGGAGCTCAGCCAAGCAAGGTTATAGGTTCTGTCCCCAGACCGAGACAAACTGAATTTGTCACTATTTACTGCCCTTTGCCTGATGTTCAGCTTCAAACTCTTGGTGGTAAGGACTGGCCCATTGTCAGTATATTGTGATTCGGCTGAGTGTCATGTTACCAAGTCCCGGTTACAACATTTCAGTGATCTGACACTTAGAAATTACCCTTGAGTGACCCAATATCTGTGGACACCATCTTCATATGGGTAACCTACAAACAAGGATTTAAAAGACCATGAAACATATTGCCCTGTGTGTTAGTACTCCAAACATTACATTACATCTTTAGGTTGCAAAATATTACCAATTGTTAAAGAGAAAATCTAGATTAGAACAATTTCAGCCTCCTTTAATGGATGAAAATACAGATTAGAGCACATTAAATGTGAATTTTTAAAAAACATGTGAATGAAACAATAATATCTTAATCACTCATTAAGCAAACATAAATGTTTAAATTACTCATAAATAAAATACATGAATATTTATATATTCACTAGTAAATGAAGCATGAATATTTAAATCACACATAAATATTTAAATCACTCATAATTATCCCTGTTTCAGTAATATGTCTAAAAAAGTCCCAGGTATATTTACTTGAATCAAAGTGTATGGAATAAACACTCAAATTATCACAATCAAATTACCACAATCAAATATGATTGGACGAATTTAATTTTCTGTATATTGTTTTGCATTGCATATATTTAAGAAATAATGTTTTAGCAAATGTTGTTATGGTCCTATAACACACATTGCTATTGATGACAGCTTAATAAAGCCTGAGAGCTTTATGTAAGTTTGTCAGCAATAGAAATGTGCGTTATAGGACCATAACAATATTTGCTTAAATATTCATTATCTATATTTACATTTTGATAGAGTAGTTACACTTTGAACAGCAAATCAAGTGTTGACAACAATGAAATTGATGATGTCACAATAGAAATAAATGATGTTTCAATAGCAAATGTTGTTATAGTCTCACAACAACAGTTGTCTTCTCAATGCATTGCAATAGAAGGATGAAGAGCAAATGTAAATATTGTGGTGTGGAAATCCATCAATGTGATAATCAGTTAAAATTTAAATGTGCTAAAATCAGTATGTGTACAGTAATTATATGCAGTAAACGCATCTTGAAGAAGACGTTATTGTGTATCTCAACAACGAGAACCAGTACAAAAAAACTGGAGAAAGAGCAGTTGATTTGAGATACCATAATGATCTCAGTTGGATATAGAAAAAAAGGGTGATTCAAGTGTACAAAAAAAAGGGTGATTCAAGTTGTTTTTTTAAACTTCATGAATTTTAGAAACTTGTTGTGATTGTTGTCTGGTACTCGTGTCATAATGTTTGTTCATTTGAGTAAACATTACATAGTATATACCATAGTATTTATTTAGTCTATGTACCTGTAGGTATGTGTGTGGTACATGTACCTGTAGGTATGTGTGTGGTACATGTACCACACACATACCTTCTGGTACGTGTACCACACACATACCTTCTGGTACATGTACAACACACATACCTTCTGGTACATGTACCAGAAGGTATGTGTGTGGTACATGTACCACACACATACCTACAGGGACATGTGCCACACACATACCTACAGGTACATGTACAACACACATACCTACATGTACCACACACATACATCTACCACACACATACCTTCTGGTACATGTACCAGAAGGTATGTGTGTTGTACATGTACCAGAAGGTATGTGTGTGGTACACGTACCAGAAGGTATGTGTGTGGTACATGTTCCTGTAGGTATGTGTGTGGTACATGTATCTGTAGGTATGTGTGTGGTACATGTACCTGTAAGTATGTGTGTGGTACATGTACCTGTAGGTATATGTGTGGTACATGTACCTGTAGGTGTGTGTGTGTGGTAGATGGATGTGTGTGGTACATGTAGGTATGTGTGTTGTACACGTACCTGTAGGTATGCGTGTGGTACATGTACCTGTAGGTGTGTGTGTGTGGTAGATGGATGTGTGTGGTACATGTAGGTATGTGTGTTGTACACGTACCTGTAGGTATGCGTGTGGTACATGTACCTGTAGGTGTGTGTGTGTGGTAGATGGATGTGTGTGGTACATGTAGGTATGTGTGTTGTACACGTACCTGTAGGTATGCGTGTGGTACATGTACCTGTAGGTGTGTGTGTGTGGTAGATGGATGTGTGTGGTACATGTAGGTATGTGTGTTGTACATGTACATGTAGGTATGTGTGTGGTACATGTACCTGAAGGTATGTGTGTGGTACATGTTCCTGTAGGTATGTGTGTGGTACATGTATCTGTAGGTATGTGTGTGGTACATGTACCTGTAAGTATGTGTGTGGTACATGTACCTGTAGGTATGTGTGTGATACATGTACCTGTGTGTAGTACATATCAAATAATAACGTATCGTGTATCGGTGTGTGTAGGGTTTTGTTTGTGTAGACAGATCAAATTTGTCAACAAGTTTTAAGTGTTACTGTCTGCCTGACAGACAGTTGATCACATATACAGAGCTTAATTACCTAGTAATGCATATAGATTTATTCCTGATTTGTGATTATGTTGTGTTAAATAATTTATCTTCTAAGCTGGTGATTGACTTTGAACGACTGGTTCAGTGTGGATTTTGTATGGTGATTTGGTTTACTGATTTACTCTGTATGTGTAATGTTATTTAAGCTGCGATAGAATATATCCCCGATAGTTTTACGCTTAAGAGTGTGTTAGATTTGAGGCTACAGTTGGGGGAGGTACGACTAGAGGTTAGTCGTTACTTGTGTATAACTTATTAACATATCAAATTCATGTATCTATGATCCTGGCTGTCAAATCCATTATAAATATAAGTAGAATAGATAGACTATATATATGTTTCTTTCAAAATGTCTCTAGTCAAGAATGAATTTAGAGATGTTCACCCAGCTCATAAATAAGACTCGGGACAGTGAATGTCAAAGATCAGTCACTTGATTTTATAAAAAATTGGTTCAGTTTTTGTTTTGACACCAATTTCAGTTAAAGCAATCATTGGAGTATCACAATGCTTGCTACATTTTTGTCAGACGTTGAAGGTCAAGGTTACTCCTATAATATAGGAGGCCACTGGTCAGATTTTTTTCTATCCGATATGATTTTGCCGACTGTTACACAGCAACTGTCAAGAGTATTATGCCACATTAATCCTCTAGCATTGTTGTAGTGAGGTCAAGTCAGAAGCTCAATTTTGTTATTTTCTTTCTTTACCAAGAATGTCTTAACATAGCCATGATGGAATCGGTCCATATTATTCCTGCTGTGAAGAAAGTCATATACTTCACAGAGCAAATTGTGTGTAAAAGTTCTTTCCAATGACATGTAGGATTTTTCTGATAAGTAGCCAGGGGAAAACGCTCCGTATAATCATTTTTTTTTCTTCTGCTATTTATTACTACATCCTCCGTTGTTACTACATATATTTCCTTAATTTTCATGTTGCTGAAAATTAATCCGGTAGAAACTGGTGTCTTCTCCGGGTCGGTCGGAAGACCTCAACTCGCTTTATGATGCGGATCCTCTCTGGGTCGGTCGGAAGACCTCAACTCGCTTTATGTTGCGGAAGTAGGGTACAACTCCGGCTCTATAGGCAACTAAACCCAGAATGAATATATGTTTAAATTATGTTATTTTTGAAAGTTTTTAATAATCAAGTAATCATTTTACCGGTATATGAATTTTCAACTTTGTTAAAAAAGACAGATCTGTATTTATTTTCCAGACAAAATGGAATAGAAAAGTTATTAACTCAGTTGTGTATATTACTTGAAAGTTTTGTTATTTTTTTAGTTAATATTTTCAGATATTTTGATCATTCCTTTGTCGAACGATAGAACTTCTGAGGTAGCTGTCCATACTGCATGTTTTATTTACTGAGGCATGTATAGATGATTTGCTCAATTGTAGCGTTTTACTGGTTTTATAGTGTTCTTTTCTGTGCGTTGGATCATCTGTCGGAGTGTCCTGTTATATTTATTGTGTACAGTTATATTATTAGGCTTGTATATTCCTTTATGGCGAGTGATACAGACAGCTGTACAACGCACACATACACACTGTTTACACTGCCGATGGTGTGAGCTGTACAACGAACACATACACACTGTATACACTGCCGATGGTGTGAGCTGTACGACGCACACATACACACTGTATACACTGCCGATGGTGCGAGCTGTACAATGCATGCATACACACTGTATTCACTTCCGATGGTGTGAGCTGTACAATGCACACATCCACACTCTATACACTGCCGATGGTGTAAGCTGTACAATGCATACATACACACTGTATACACTGCCGATGGTGCGAGCTGTACAATGCATGCATACACACTGTATACTCTGCCGATGGTGTGAGCTGTACAATGCACACATCCACACTCTATACACTGCCGATGGTGTAAGCTGTACAATGCATGCATACACACTGTATTCACTTCCGATGGTGTGAGCTGTACAATGCACACATACACTCTGTATACACTGCCGATGGTGTAAGCTGTACAATGCATACATACACACTGTATACACTGCCGATGGTGCGAGCTGTACAATGCATGCATACACACTGTATACTCTGCCGATGGTGTGAGCTGTACAATGCACACATCCACACTCTATACACTGCCGATGGTGTAAGCTGTACAATGCATACATACACACTGTATACACTGCCGATGGTGTAAGCTGTACAATGCATGCATACACACTGTATACACTGCCGATGGTGTGAGCTGTACAATGCACACATACACACTGTATACACTGCCGATGGTGTGAGCTGTACAATGCACACATACACACTGTATACACTGCCGATGGTGTGAGCTGTACAATGCACACATACACACTGTATACACTGCCGATGGTGTGAAATTAACCATTAATGTTGATCCTAATGTACATTCTGTTACTGATGCTACATGTACTATGAACTTTTGTTACTATCCAGAAGTTGTTTTACAGGTTTTGAAAATCTTCCATCCTCGATGTCCAGGGTTATGCTCACATTTGCTCTGTACACCCCAGGAACATGTCATGGCAAAATCGAAGGCTCAGTGTGCGACACTTTGTGGATGAGACGAGAAGACTAGTTTGATCCTTTGATGTACATCAAAAGAATCTCCCGGTCGTGTAACAGTAAATATTCCTGGCTTTTAAGTCGGGCGTTGCTCCTCTATAATCTTCAAAAACAGGTATCAGCCTAGTGATTGGTCAGGTTGTTTTTACCTGACACCAATCAAATAGCTAGCCGCGTGCCTTCAGTTTTGCTATGACATATTCCGGGGGTGTACAGAGCAAAAGTGAGCATAACCCCTGGATATCGAAGATGAATATAAATCCCTCGTACATGACAAAATATTTTTGACAAAACCTTTTACAAAGAAATTGAGTTGTGAGAATATACTTTCAGCAGACACAATTTTAGACCAACTAATGTGTTACAATTCATATTGTGCTGTAAATTTCTTACAAAATAGTACAGTAAAAATTACGATTGTAAAATTGATATTGATATGACATGAATTTACATAACCGAAATGTGAACTGAGTAACATGAAGATTTACAAGACACGAAACTCAGGGTTATAAAGTATCTCAAGGGTCTGAGATAAGAAAATGTCATGACTTTATTCGCAAAATATTCTTTGGAACAATTTTTGTGTGTGGTTTTTGTTTTTATGCTGTATTATTGGAAGGCCAAAATAAATGAAGATTTTGTTAACACCTTGTATTTTGTTTTGTTTTTATTTCGTGTAAGATCTGCTGAATCACATTTTCAGGTGACCTTGAATATTAATTGAGATTCCCCTTTGTCCACCATTATGTGATGTCGATGAACTTTCATATTACTGACTCTTCCAAAGAAACTATGTCAGTTGTTTTAAGAAACTGGATTGTAAGCATCATCAGCCTGTATGATCAGAATCTTTACTAATAAATAGCTAGGTCATGGCATATCACACAGTACAAAATCTTCAGAAGCACCTAAGTTTCTGGTAGATCATCACCATTTACTTATTCTATGACATGATCCTTAGACGAGGATCACAATCTTTACTGAGGAAGAAAACCTCCCACCCCACCCTCAGAAGTGCACACCCCGCCAACCTGTGTAATCCTGAGGAAACTTACTGTTGTACTTTCACCAACATTCCATAAAACGCTCCTCAGACCTTGATTAGATGACAAGAATTTAAATTTTTACTTTCACCCCTTTTTAACTTTAGTAGACTCTACCATACATTGATCAGGATGAGTCCATTATGGTCTACAGTGTTGAAAGGGTTAATAAGGGTCTTCCCCCTCAAAAGGATTTAGACAACCTTTCGTATGAAATCATTCTTTGTTTAGTGCGACCCATTTCAGGATTCACTTGCTGAAATAAAATTGTATTCATATGAAGTAACAATCTACTCAACAGTATGTGTGTCGGCTATCGTTTCACTCGGTTCACTGTTACGGCCCATGGGCCACTTGTAACGAACATTGCCTACTTGATCAGATATCAGTTAATTTATGCGGATGTACTTTCAGTAGTGTCATCAGTAATCACATAAAGTTATAAAATCTGTTTTCATAGCGTTTCTCAACAGCGAGGTAGCATGAACCCTCCAACCAAATAAAAGACTCAACAGCGAGGTAGCATGAACCCTCCAACCAAATAAAAGACTCAACAGCGAGGAAGCATGAACCCTCCAATCAAATAAAAGACTCAACAGAGCGAGGTAGCATGAACCCTCCAACCAAATAAAAGACTCAACAGCGAGGTAGCATGAACCCTCCAACCAAATAAAAGACTCAACAGCGAGGTAGCATGAACCCTCCAACCAAATAAAAGACTCAACAGAGCGAGGTAGCATGAACCCTCCAACCAAATAAAAGACTCCAGGTGTCTTTGATTGCACAGTTGCTTTTGTTTCTTTCTTTTTTAACATATTAGAACAATGACCTTCAAAGCGTGTCGAAGTCATTCATGTGGGCTGTTTTTTCGTTTATCACGGCCCAAATAGTCGAACCAGTTGGACCGAAATTGTTTGTTTATGAAAAAGGTCAGGTGAGCCTTGACCAAGCCTTGCAAGGCCTGCATAAACTTTTGCAGGTCCACCAGGATTTATACCCAAAAACGTTACATTTAAAAACGGATGAACCTGTTGTTCCGCATAACCAAACAGGCCCATACAGAACAAATCTTATGACTTGAGGCTCCATTGTTCTTAACAAGAAGTCATTTAAATAAATCCAAAAAGTTGTTAATGGAAAGTTAATATAGCTATTTCCTGTGTTTTACTGTAAGGGAGCCGTTTAAAATAATATTGTTAGCATCTCAGTTTTTATTTTTTCAGGTTCCCTTATCCTAGCATGGAAATTTTAGATTTTGGTGCCAGGTATTTATCGTGGACATTAGAACAAATTTTCTGTTGCAGAATTTTGATTAAACAACTTTATGGTAGGTTGACCTTTCCCTTTTTGGCATTAAATTCATCAATCTGGTTGTAAATTAATTTGTTAGTAAAAAAGACCTTTTAATACAAAAGCTTCTTCAAATACAAGGGTTCTATTGTCAAAATGCAAGAGACAAACGAAGAGAACAAAAAACTTAGGAACAACATCAAAACAGCAACTTGGGAATCACTCTCATTTCTAGCGATATATTGTGTTTATATCACAATCTAGAGCTCATATCTTAAGAATTAGGAAATCAAAGCACTCGAACACCTCAAGTTACTAGTATTTTTTTTTAATCATTAATATAAAAAATATTGCAATCATTTAAATCAATAACAAATATCATGCTACATAAATACAATAACAACACATATAAAATCATTTTATTCTCTGTATCGTTATCTTTCTTGCTGGTAATGACATCAATATGTCTGCAGAGTCTTCAGTATTTCTGAGAGTGTAGGTGATGATATTCTGGTCAGCTATTTTATTGACTATAAACAGAAATGGGACGTTGTCCCATTGTTTTCATTTTACGTCATAATTTTGACTGTCTATAGTGGATGGAGAAGCTCTCACACAGTTTCTTACCTTCGTAAAACCTTTGTGATAGACTTCAAGCTGCTAATGAATTATATACGCACAGATACAATAATGATCTCGGATAATAATACCAGTAGTGTTATATGATTTCTAAATCTTTTGTTAAATCAGGATTTCAATCATTCAGAAAACCATGTTTCCCGCTACTTGGCTGACATGCTTGCTACATAGTACAAACTGTTTTACTCGATCGACAAAACATTTGTTCCACATATTATATCAGAAACAAAAGTATCAGAAATTTGTTTATCATTAGTAAGTATATTCTTGATTAAGAAATCTACATAAATTAATTTAAATATAATTTGATATATCGTGATTTGTATGGAAAATTAATCATTTTCATAATTCACTTGTAGATGGTTAGTGAGCTAATTACATGATAAATAAGTTTAAAATATCTGACTTTATTAAAAAATGATTGGTCTGACAGTTTCATTTTTTTTTAAAAAAAAAAGGCAGTCAGCTATTTCTGACTTTAATATGTATAATGATCTTGAATACTATTTGTATGTCCATGCATTTTCCTGATTATAGCACCAGTGTACAGGTTATTGATTGTTGTCACAGAAAAAACCCTGATTTCAATAAAATCACTTATCTTCAGCCACACTGAAGGTGATAGAAGCAATATCTGACAACCCTGCCTGGATTTCATCCCCTTCTTTTACTGGACCGACACCAGATGGCGTACCGGTCAACAATAAATCTCCTTCCTCTAACGTAAAATAACTGCTAAGAAAACTGATCAGGAACGGAATAGGGAAAATCATGTCTGTTGTGTTTCCTTTTTGTTTCAGCTCTCCATTGACCTTGAGCCAGAGGTCAAGGTTGGCAGGATTTGGAATTTTGTCCTTTTCAATGAAATTGCTGACAGGACAAGACGTATCCCAGGATTTGGCGAGTGACCAAGGATGACCGTTCTTTTTGGCGAAATCCTGAAGATCGCGTGCGGTCATGTCAAGGGCAACGACATAACCTCCAACGTGTTCCATCGCATCTGACTCAGAAATGTTGCTCCCGCCTTTACCAATGACAACACCGAGCTCAACTTCATGATGGAGCTCACTGCAGCCAGGTGGAAACTGTACACAAAACAAAATTTAATCACAGGATAACCGACTTACAGCAGTACATTGATGTAAACGTGCGGGCAGTCGTCCATCCAACTACTGACCACACTCGACATTGCTGAACTAGTGAGCTGGTCCCCAGGTTATACTGCATCACTGGAAAAGCTAGCTCGCCAGTAAGGCAGTATGTTCCCTTAAAATACCTTAGCTGTTACACTGATATCTATATAAGAAATGGAGCACAATTGTCTCATACTCTGCCACTTTGTTCTGATTTTTTCTTTTTCTCAAACTACAAGTAAGTTCAGCTGATCATGAATAAGGTTATACGCTTTCTAAAACATTCAAAAATTGTGATTCCTGTAACAGTTATCTCCCTTTAATCATATTAAATATTTCAGATTTGTGTGTTTACAAGAATGTATTCCTGTGTACCTTTAAATGTATCATCCATATATCCCAGTCTTAATGTATCATCCATATATAACCAGTCTAAATAGTTATTGATAAAAGACATTTTAGTTGCTTTACGGTGGAACTCTTTTGGTAACAAGATGGAAAAAAAATAATTGTAAGGTAGCATACACCCTTAAGCTAACTTACTTGAGTCAAGCTACTTTAAGTTGGATGATACCACCATTTTTTTTTTACTGTAAACATGCTTTAAAAAGTTTATTTATTTGTTAAAGTTTAATGTTATTTCCATTTTATTCATACACCAACTTTGGCTTTATAAGCCACAACTTTGCTGTACAAATGATGGCAGTATAACAAGGTTTTACTGTCGATAAAAAAAAAAATCGCAAAGTGAAAGCAAAGCTCTTTTCATCTAATGTCAGATTCATTGAAAGACACATGAAATTGATATCAATTAATTAAATAGTGATTTTAAAATGTTTATAAAATCATTTCATAAGATTGCAAGTTAATCATTCTTTACTCAATTTTGTTTTAGGTGCAAAGATACAAATTTACATAAAAAATAAATAAATAAAATCTTTGATTGTTTGACACATATATTGCCTCTTTAGCAGTTACTGAACGTGACCGACCTTGATTCGCTGACCCTCGACAATGTAGGAGCTGGTTGGCTTGATGAATACCAAGGGATTCTTTGGGATAGGGTTGTTAAGTTCCGCAGCATGTGACCTAAAACAGAAGAGGAAATAATTAGTCATCTCATTCTTAGATAAACCGTGAAGGGTACTGCAGTAGAAAAAAACATTTTACAATTGATTTTCAGGAAGACAAGAATATGATGCTATGAACCTAATGGGAAAACAATTCCTAAAACCTAAGGTTTAGCATGAAGTGAAGGTAGGATAATCAAAATGTGAAACATTCACTGGACTAAAATTATAGTTTGGTCTATAACATAGGGTTTAGCCTCCTATTAACTGCTAGGATAATCAAAACGTGAAATATTCACTGGACTAAATAGTTTGGTCTATAACATAGGGTTTAGCCTCCTATTAACTGCTAGGTTATTTATAATGCATCCAGGTGTGTAATGTACATGAATGGATGGTGGGCAGTATGTTGGTGTATTTGCCTCCTTGTGACAGCGCAGATCTGATGCCATTACTTTAGCCACGATTGGATTTAACTACGACTATTACTCATCACGTCAGACCCAGGGACCTCTAACCATGTAGGCCTACCTACATATTGTACCTTGGTTTGGTTTGTTTCTGTTTTACATCCTAATTTAACACAAATCGTACTAAGCTTAAGTCTAATGTCTATACGTCTGGTGTCAAGGCCAGAGGAAACTCGGGCTAGTAACTGCTACTAGGATGATAAGGGTCCTTCCATGACCAGACTATAAACCTGTAATCTAATATGCATGCTATCTAAATCGTATAGGCTAAGCTAATGTGAGGTAAATAGGCCATGCGTAGCATAAGGTCGGAATATAGGTCATCAATGGATCTCAAAAGTATTCCTACCTATTGTATTATAAATACAAAACAAAATTCATTCATTTAGTAGATGAGAAGGGTTTAACAGTTGCCTCTAATTTAACCATTTGCTCTCTGGTAGCCTTCACAACAACAGAACGAGTATTAACAACGTGAGTATCTGATTACAGGTATCAGCTACACCCACTGCCCACACAACGTACTGTCGGATTTCCAGGTGGAAGAAATACCACTGTTTATAATAAATACAAAGACTGCCATCCTACTATAGATATATAATATTCAACATCATAACACAAAGTTATTGTTAATATACGAAAAGTACTTGTAATTTCGCCCAATCGCCAAGATTTTCTTTCCAACTTCTCGGAACCTTGCAAGGTTAGTACCGGGCGCAGCCATGTTGAATAAGTAGTATACTTTTAGAGTTATTTCCCTTTGACCATAAGATATAAGGTTTGCAAAGCAGTGACATTTGAGGCGCTATTTTCGCGGCCAAATGTTTGATTCCGCATTTGAAAAAAAAATGTGACATCATAAACTTTCCAATCGACCTTTTCTCTATTTAAAATTATGAATATTAAATCAGAAGGTAGGTTATTTATTCATGAAATAAAGTATACTTTTTACAACGTAATTCTTCCGATTCTTTAGTGTGGAATTTAAGAAATATGGTCAAAATAAAAAGTTACACATAATGTTCAACAAATTAGAATATCATTTAGAAAGGCTTTCCTTAACCTGTCTCAGTGTCATTAATTAGTGAAGCAACTTATATTTATTGTTAATGCTGTACGTATACATGCATGTATAGTTCCCAAGATTGTTTTCTTGCACCATGCCGGCAGGCTATTATAGATAGCACAGCAATTATAGAACCGAAACGTGTACATCTTAGGAAGAACTGCGATCGATGAAAAAGGGAACATCTAGCTAAAACGTAAAATCTTCTGGATCAGGAGGAGCTAACAGAGAATTTTGATGAAACACATGACATCACCAAATAAGGCATGCAATCACTGCCCACATGGAGAAGAGGACGATGGGCAGCCAGTTCAAACACAACAGAAACGTGCTTCATTAAAAGGAAGAGCACTCTGAAAATATTTGACAATTTTGGAACCATATCATTCTTGCATTTGATTGTGGAAGGAAATGCAATTCTAGTCGTGCTATCAAGGAGAATAACCAAGTACATACTGGGCAACAGGTTCACGGACATTTACCACCGTGTGGCATTGCCACTATATAAACCTACCAAATTCAGTTGGCTTTCATAAAGGTGTAACATACTTTTCTATGAGATGAACACAGATTCTAAAAATGGTAAATATAAGTATTGAGCTGCTTTCTGTTGGCATTCATAGGCAAAATGAATTCCAACTGGACACAGGCAAATCCAACATGAAGCGCTGGCGTGCTTCCTTGAATTTGCCTTTGTCCAGTTGGCACTAAATTGGCTATGAATGCCAACTGAAAGCAGTTCAAGTAGGTGCATAAAGGCGAATCGCGGGAATGAAACAACCCAGATCATCAGGGAGGCAAGGAAAGAACAAAGGCGAAGTGACAGTATTCTGGCGAGACCTGACGAAATCTGACGAATGCCTGTCTATTAAAACCGCACCAGTTGGTAGTGTTAACGATGGAGACGAACCATGTTAAGAATGGGTTCTGGATTCTGTTGAATTAACGGGTGCGCTTCCTCTTCGTCAACATTGAAATGACAACTTGGCAGAGACTGGATAAATAGAGACTAGCAGTCACGAATGTTCAATATATATAGCAGCTGTTATGATTAAATGAACAGGGATATACATCGACAACTACTAAACGAGCTGTCTATGGACAATATAGCGGTGACAACAGCAACAGTGATGGAAGGATACGTACCCTTAGAGACGTTAATGAAATGACCACGTGGGTATGCAAGGAATTCAAACCAGGCAAGTTATGAAGTATCCTCTTAAAGAAATGAAGAATCAGGTAGAAGGGTGGACGAAAGCAGTCGGCAAGAAAGACATCCCATGGAAACTCAAGGTATGAATATACTACCATGATATACTTCCTATCTGTCCATTATCAAAAGGGAAATACAGCATACAGGAGTCGGCGTACAGACAGCAGAGACAGAGACTTGGACATGAGGAGACATTCACCTGTGGACGAGTTTTCTTGTAGAGGTTGCTTCAAAACCACTCCGCCAAACCATTATGTTGTGGCTCTGGAATACCATTCTGGTACTGATGTTGGAACAGAGCAGTGGCAGGACAGAATAGAATGGAGGCGAAATTACTGTCAGGTGGAGGACGAATTTTAAAGCAGGGTTGAAAAGAAAGGTGGTCGGTTCGCGCATTGGATATCGCACTTGTCCTCACCAAGGTGGCCGGGGTTTGATTCCCCGATCGGACGTGAAAATGAATAGGTTCACCGGCCCGACCACGAGGGTTTTCTCTGGGTACTCCGGTTTCCTCCCACATTTTAAAAGACCCCCAGCTCGCAAGCTAATATCTGGGTCAACAAGAGTAATTAATATAAGTTGTAATAACTTGTTTCATAATTGTTGTAAAATAAATAAAGTTTATATAAAAGAATTGTGTCTGCCAGTAGTGGTTCGATGTAGGGCCCTGGGGTTCTACTCACCAAATGTTATACTTACTAGGGGTCATAATAACATACTGTTCCTATTATCTCTTACTAAATTTTATGGGTGAAACCACGCGTGTCTTATGTCCATCTTGCAATAATATTCAGCTGGGAATAACTCTGATTTCCGCTATCTACAAGCTGTGTTGCACTGTTCTAAATCAGCGCCTAACCATTTGGGAAACGCTAACGCCATAATTTGTGATAAGCAAAACGGTTTCCATAAAGGCCGAAGCACAATTGACCATTTATCTACTTTTACGTCCATTATAGATACCCGTAAAGCTCAAAGAAAATCTATGTTTACAGCCTGTATCGACTTCCGTAAAGCTTTGCCTCTGTTGATAGGTCGCTGTTGTTCAAAAAGCTTCACGATCTAGGCAATCGTATGCTTGCAGCTATTACGTCATTGTTCCAAAACGTCTATTGCTGTGTACGCATCATCAGTGTGAATACACATTTCTTCACCGTCAATTGCAGTCTAAAACAAGGATGTTTAATGTCCAGTATTTAATTTAATTTATTCATCAACGACCTCATACACTAAACTCTCAAGATATAGGAATCGTGTGTCGACGGTGATAAATTATGTGTATTGGTATATGCAGACGACGTCGTATTACTCGCACGAAACGGAGGATGAACTTCAAACACTACTGGAAACCTTGAACTTTTAGTGTGGTAATAACAAAATGTCTGTGAATAGTTCAAAATCTGAAATTATACATTTTAGATTACCTTCAGTCCCAAGGACAAGCAAGTGTTTTACATGTGGAGATGGTTCACCTGACGTCACTGACAATTATTCTTACCTTGGTCTCGTTCTTACGGAACATCTAGATTACGACATCATGGCAAAGGCAGTTGCTAAATTGGCCAGTCGGGCACTTGGCTTACTTATTGCGAAAGACAAATCATTTGGAGGTTTTCATTTTAAAACTTTTACCAAGTTATATGAATCGCTAGTGTGGTCGGTAATCAACTACGGAGCAGCCGTTTGGGGCTTGAAGTCTTACTCGTGCATTAACGCAATATAAAATCGTGCGGCGCGCGTGTTCATGGGTCTTGGAAAAATACGCACCTAATGCAGCCGTTCAAGGCGATATAGGTTGGATTCCTACTGACATAAAGCTATGGGAAACTGAGTATTCCGTTTTTGCTTATTGCAGAGTTATCTTTTCTTGGGAGCAGGTATTGATTGTTACGTCACTCCTTTGTGAGAGTAACGTCATCAGTTTTTGAAAAAACGACGTAATTTTCTCACACAGACCAATGACGTAACAATCAATACCTGCTCCCAAGAGAAGACAACTCTGCAATACGCAAAGACGGAATATGCAATGGCGTCCGCTACATTTGGTGGATACCAATTGGCTTAACAGAAAGGTGTTTGTTTGGTCAAGCCGTAAAAGCGGTCGTAGCTGTCGAAATTGGAACTTCCGGTTAAAGGAACATTTCCGTACACTAGGATTTCCGGATAATCATTTCGATGACTTATAGGTTGATCAAAACTTTAGCAATACTAGATCATTACTACTTCAAGAAACTTTATAAGCAAATGGCAATTCAGCGTAGCTAGAAAATCAGCAATTAGATGAAACGGTCGAAATAAATTAAGAACGTATCACAAGTTCAAAAGTGAGTTTGTTACCGAGAAATATATATCTAGTGTAATGGCTCCTGGTGCACGTAGTACTCTAGAAAAATTAAGATGTGGAGTTGCTCCAATTCGTGTTGAAACAGACCGTTATGAAAATTTAGATAATAATTTTTGAACATGTTTCCATTGTACTAATGTGGTAGAAAATGAGCTCCATGTTTTAATTCACTGTCCTTTGAACCAAGATATAAGAGATATGATAATTTTGTTACACTCTGTGAAACCGATAAATTATATTTTATAACTCAGAAGACTGATATATGTAGTTATAGTGCCAAAACCTGTAAACAAATTTTAGAAAGACGTAGAAGCTTATTTGATAGAAATTAGTATTTTACTATAACCTGTATATATCCTTTATAGTCTCTGGTAACTCTGTACAAAGTGGCCTCTATCTTTATTTATTATTGATGTTGTACATAATAAATAATAATAATAATATACAACATTTATATAGCGCCCTATATAATTTGTAAAATTACTCTAAGGCGCTTTACAACATATGGATAATAGTAATGGTTATAATTGTGAAAACAAACAACAAAGGCTTGCAATCACTTGCATACATTTAACAAGCAATGTGCACATTTACATGACGTCTTTGCAAAGATTCTAATATGCAGACGTGAAGAGGTGAGTTTTTATGTCCCTCTTGAACTTGGCCAGGGTATTCGACTTCCTAATAGCAGATGGTAAGCTATTCCACAACGTAGCCGAAACCCTCCCAAAGCATCTGTTTCCGTAGGTCACAGTACGAGATTTTGGGCCACACAACAAAGATTCTGACTCCGACCGCAGTGATCTTGACGGCTGATACAGGGTAACAAGTTCCTGTAGGAACTGAGGAGCTGTTCCATTCAGTGCCTTGTATGTGTATACCAGAATTTTGTACTGCGACCTGTATCGTACAGGTAACCAGTGCAACGAATAAAGCGCAGGTGTGATGTGCTCTCTCTTTCGAGTACGAGTAACTAGCCGTGCTGCAGTGTTCTGAACCCTCTGCAGACGACTAGTTAGTTTGTCAGATATACCACAGAGCAGGGCGTTACCATAATCCAACCGAGAGGTAACAAGTGAATGCACCAAAATCTTGCATGCATCTGCAGTTAGAAACTGCCGAATACAGCCGATGTTCCTGATCTGGTAGTAACAGGATTTGGCAATCGCGTTCACTTGTTTCTCCATGTTCAGAGAACTGTCAAAGTATACCCCTAGGTTTTTAACAGCTGGAACAGTCTCAATAGTTCTGGCACCAACCTTGAGCTGGAGAGCCATTGTTTGCTGACTCTTTGGGGAAAAGACGATTAGTTCCGTCTTTTCCTGATTAAGTTTAAGCATGTTAGCGTTCATCCAGATACTGATATCTGTCAGACAAGCTTCCAGACTTTCTGAGACTGGATTCCAACTGTCCTGTGGTTTTATGACCATGTAAATTTGTGTGTCATCAGCATATTACAAATTACATATGTAATTGTTTTATTGAGGGTGAGACTCAAATAAAATATTTGAATTTGAATTTGCGAAAGTCAACCAGATCCAGACTGGGCTTACCCAGCCAGCACACATTTGGGGACATCGTGGAAGACACCAGAACCCACATTTACTCCACCTGGTAATGATGGGATCAGTCAGTGTACGTACGGTTGTCTGTTTATATTTACAACAGTGTGGCATTGCCTTTTATATAATCCCGCCAGATTCACATAGCATTCATATCAGCTATGAGTGTCATGGCCCGATTTTTTTTACATCATCGCTTTGACGTCAGAATTGTAAGGTAGGGTACAACGCTCTTCCTGGACAAATGGCTGATCTGTTCATTGAATACACATATACGATACATAATATTCTAAATGAACAAGTTGTTTTTTCTTTTATTAAAATCTGAAAAAAATAGAATGCTTCCTTGGATTTCCCTTGGTCCATTTTCCCTATGAATGCCAACTGAAAGCAGTTTAATGCTTAAATGCCTTTTAATTTCTTTTTTTAAGTATGCTTTCAGGAATTGTGAGATACTACTATTCCGTCTTTGCGTATCTTCTCTTGTGAGCAGGTATTGATTGTTCCGTCATTGGTTTGTGTGAGAAAATTACATCGTTTTCTCAAAAATTGATGACCTTACTCTCACAAACAACTGATGTAACAATCAATACCTGCTCTCAAGAGCAGATAACTCTGCAATAGGCAAAGATGGAATACATAAATGGAATCATCATATTGCTTGGCTGTCTAATTTATTCGTTGAAAGTTTGACTAGGAAAAGTTCTTGACCTCCACAACTTTAAAGTTAAGTTACCACAGGTCCATTTGACTGTGTTTACTAGGGTAGGTGACTCTGACAATTGCTAAACACTGCGAGAAAAACAAAAGTGAAGACAGTTATTTGTTTGCACTGATTTGCTGGAATCTTTATTTCCCCTAAGTACAATTAATATACAATGCAACACTTTCTACAGAGTTTCACTGTTACCAACAACATCTCTGACAAGTAAATAGATGTCTCACATCCCATTCCTCATGGCCAATCTTCAACAACTGTCAAATTGTTTAATTAACTATTCCAAACATTTATGTAAGCAGTAATGGGGGACATTAAAATCATTGATGTTCATGAACATTTTCTCTAATGGAGTATTTCTGAGAAACATTTTTTTTAACATTACTACAAACCTTGTTTTTAATATCACTTATAAATAACCAATTTTTGATCACTTTCAACCATTACAGAGCATTAACTGAGTGATTTGGTCTCATGTTTCAACCCCCTTCCCATTCAAAACAATCTGTTTTCATTTAAGTGAAACCTATTTTTTGCATATTTTTAATTTGCTTTCAGTTTGATAATTACTGTCTGAATTATTTTTGTCGAGTTGTTGAATATTAAACAGGACAAACAGGATGTAATTAGTTGATGAAGATGTGATGTTGATATGACAATAAATGCTTTTTGGTGATTGTATGGTTTGTGTATGAATTTGGGACAAAACAATTTGGCAATACTGTTGATGACATTGTACAAATGTCTACCAAAGTGTAACAGAGGAGCCCCAGTACAGACCAACAGGGGTTCTGTACCCAGTACAGACTAACAGGGGGTCTGTACCCAGTACAGACTAACAGGGGTTCTGTACCCAGTACAGACTAACAGGGGGTTCTGTATCTACTTATATTACGTTTTATTATTTAAATTACCATTAATATTTTTTGTCTAGTTTCTGCATGTTCACATTTTGTTGTTGTTGTTGTTGTTGCTATTATCCTTTTTAACTACAAAGTTTGAACAGAAAATGCTCATTCATCTTTCACTTGTTACACTTAAATATTTTCACCTAAAATAGATACTAGTTCCATTTTGATTTTTTTCTAAAATCTCTTGTGTATAAAGATTTCGTTTGACATCAGACAACATTAAAACAAAGGAAAGTACTGAATGCCAGAAATTCCATTGGCTATTCTTTGTTCATTGGATGCCCTCTGACCTATGTTAATTAGCTACACTCAGGTCTTTGTTCATTGGATGCCCTCTGACCTATGTATATTTGCCATCCTCTGGCCTATATTCATTGGGTGCCCTCTAACCTATGTAAATTACTGCTAGGCCTATCATCTGTAACACTTTGGTAGAGACTTCAGTACATGTTTATATGTAGTACACACACATACTCTGATAAAAGTATAACAAGGCAGATTCCCATCTGCATATATACTAACAACAAATGGAAATTCATATATATATAAAAAAGCATAACAAGATACCTAATGTTTTACATGTAACTCACATAAACAAAGTTAAAAAAAAGGTCTGAAGTTAACCACTTGAACACATTGACTTGATAGAGTTTTAAAGGCGATATATTTTCTATATATGCAATATCATTTCAGTTATGAGCTTAAATGCAACTGAATGAACACTTTATTCGTTATTGCAGTTTTCATGTGAACACAATCTGGAGATAAAAAAAAACAAAAAATAATCGTTACAAAAATAGCTGATTGCCTATATCAAAACTAACCCTATGACATGCATGAGAAATAAACCCTCATTTGCTGTGAATATTTGTTTTTAAAAGCTGTCTTGAGATTCGACCAACCTGATAATGTGTAAACCTATATATAGCTAGTTATTTAAACATAGTCACATGATTCCTATGAGGATGGGATATTCTATATGATTTTGATTGTGAGGTCTTGGATTTCTTTCCCGTGAGCAATTTTTTCTTTTTTTGTCTTTAAATATTGGATTAAATATATGTTGTTGACTTGACCAAAAACCTTTCTGTTGCACGCGTTGTATGAGATTGCCGGTTTAGTTTGTTGTGATATAGGTATGTGATATTCTATAAGAGGAAGACTTGTATATATTTCAAACATACATAATTTTACAAAAGATAGTACAAAAGAATATAAAATTATTGGTAATCACCTACAGTAATCGCATAGCAAAACGCAGAATGGGGAATCTATTAAAATTCAGGTACTGTGAGTAACTGTTTATAGTAACATTCGATTGTCAATCGATTATGAAAAATAAAAAAACAGTTCTGAAGAATAATAGGAAGTATAAGTAATAAGTAACAATGTTTTAGAATTATTGAAAATCATAATCAAAAATCAAAACTTTATCTCGACTTCATCATTCCAAAATCACTACCAACTATACTATACTCGTTCATAAAAAATACATAAAACTTAATTCCATTACAATAATATAGCAGAATTAGTTGTTTACATAAAACTGCTCTTTTTATAAAAATCATAAAATGACATGAACACAACTTGGCACCAAATATTACCAAAACACTGCTTCCATACACAAATTATACTGGCTGCGACAAGAGTTATGTCCCTTTGAAGAAAAACTCTTTAGAACATCTCTATATTGCTTTGGGGAATATCAACCAGTACCACTGGCAATAAAATCGATTTGTGTCTAAAACGATTATTCATTAATTATTTTGGCAGTAAGAAATTCATTAAATTAAAAGAATGTCAATCCCTATTTCAATCTTGTTCGAAAAAACATTGGTCAACAATTATTTCTCAATTAAAAACTGACAAAAAAACAGTTTTTCAATATGTGACATGATTTGTAACTAATGTTAATCAATACCAATCAAACATCTAAGGCTTATCTAAGCCTTTTCTAAAAGCATATAAAAATCTGACAAACAAAATGCCTGTATTAACAATGACAGGTTTCCTACACAGTAGTTGTAACACTTCTCGGCAAAAACAAGGCTGTGTATACAGTATTCACTTCTGGCTCAGTTCACTGAAGTTCCCAGCAGCTTCAATTTTATTAAAATGTTCAGAAAATTTCATATAAAACAAAAAAGATTTCGTTAAATTGGACAGAAACACAACAAAATCAGACTTTTTCCTTCCAAGACAAAAATAATTATTGATCATTACCTAATCAGAAACACAATATGTATCTTGGCATGGCAATATTAGAAATAGCATTCATTGGACATCTCAAATATACATAAATATCGTATTTACATAGCGCTGATGACTTATTGATTTTAGACGGTGAATTCACCACAGACGGCACAGTACAATCGATGATCTGAAGTTAACGCACATATAATAAAATATTGTCACATCCCTCCCAAATCATGCTAAATCCTACAATGATTTCACTTTTGTATTCTTGGACATGTTTTTTTGCCGTAGATATGGCCCCTTCACAGTATTCCCTGGAATGACCCTTATATCCTATAATAAAGAGACATAATTTATAAAAAACTTAGTGACTTTTATCTACTTCATCAAAGATCAGGCCCTTAGCCATCGAGATTCTCTCTGACATCACAGCACCAAGATGAAATCAAGAGAATAGTTATAGCATTTAATTTTTTATACTTAATCAGCTTTCATTTGGTACTACTAGACAACTGTGGATAGAAAATCTTACACTTTAAGATGACATATTGCTTACAACTGAAAATTAATCCTACAACATAGTTTAAAAGACCAAAATGTCAGGTAGGCCTGGATAGGTCCCTACACAGGGAACAAAAGTGAAACAAAATTATATCTCCTATGTGCAGACAATGTGAAATCGCATGAATTTAGTTAACCTTATAATAAATCACTATAGGGACCTGTTTGTCGAATGATTTGATTGTAGTACAATGTCTCTTTTTTGTCAACTGACAATATTAAGTAACTGCAGCTATTAATTTTCCCAACCCATCAACAAACTGTAAACATGATAACATTACAACAAACTGTTAATTGGTGGTGCGTAATGCTGGCTTCCTTACTCTTACAACGTGTGCGTCAGTTATGTTCCGTTGTCTTATAAACAACAGTTTCGCATACAAAACATTTCATTGTGGATGATCGTTGATTACAACACAAGACACAAGTCACAAGTTGCGTCTCAAGTTTGAAAATAATAAAAACGAAGTCCTGGACATACTGGCTGGATTTCACAACATATTAACTATACAATGTTCGAGTCCTGGCATTTAACGATATTATAACATAGGTAAGTGTCCTAGTTTGACAAGGTTTGACCCCCGTCTTTGTCACTGCGAGACCACCGACACTAACGGGACCTCAAATGTTAATGAGACAAATATTCACACCACGTTTCCCCATGTGTCTTGATGAATCAACGTTGCAGAGAGAGTGTTGCAGAGAGAGTGTAGCACGCGGCTAAAACCATTTAACAAACACTGTATCCTGTTTATAACAATTACTTGAATCGTTACGTTTTGTCCATCTCCGTTACATTTCTGCACTTGCTCCTCAACGGTGCAATCACTTTGCAAGTCAGTGTTGTGTCTGTCCTTTCTTTCCTTGTCTGGTTGTTCAATAAAAAAATATTCACATCTCAGAACTCCCGAAACGTAGGCAAAATCGTACGAGCACAGTTATAGACAGTAAAAACACATCTCGTCCTTGAGAAATAAATGAAACATCTGCGGGGAAATCTTCCTGACCACCCGACGCTTGGCACACTGTTTGCATAGATAGGTATAATGTCTTGCCCATGTGCCACCTACAGCTACATACACACACACACGTACCCACACATTATCACGCAACTCTCACCCGTTGATACACTGTAAGTGACATGTGCTCCCTACTCCGTCCTGTTTTGTGCGAATCACTTCAATACAGCCGATGCCCCGCTCTGCTGCCTTGACCACGACTTGTAACACTCACACAAGAAAAAATATAACTCTAGCAACGAATTGACTCCTAAGTCCACGTCATTTAGAATTATTCTGGTGTCTCTTAGCACACTTTTGATCATTCCTTATTTGGTGTTGTTGATCACACACTAGACAACTGTTGCCATGGTTGTGATCCCAGTATGTCACTACACACAGTCTGTTTCAGAGTCGTTACAACTACTACTTGTACTCGTGATTTCACTCTCGTCCACGCTACTACAGCTCCGAGACATGGAAGAATACTGGCTGTCTGACGTCCGACAGTCTGAACTCCGGCTACTCTCGACTGGTTCCAAATCTAGGTACTCCTGGAACTGCAATGACAGGCAAGAAATTATTTATTATTAGGAAAACAATTGAGCCCTTATTTGATGACGAATTAATCTTTTAATTGAATTCCATAAATGAGGAACTCCTTTATATTTTAAGTCAACGGACCAAAACCATGATAAAACCTCAATGGTAAAATGAAACATCATTATAATGACATTGATCAAATTTATTTGGTTTTAAAATCTGCCTTTTGGCAATTGCGAACCTTCATAATATGGACCCTATCTAAGGTACTGACCTCTCTAGCACGAACAGTAAGGACCTTGTCCAGTTCCTTGACAAGCATACTAAATGATGGTCGGCGAATGGGATTATGTTCCCAACACTCGCTCATCATATCAAACATTTCCATAGATGCGTAGGGTGGCTTCTCCATGCGATGTCCCTCCCTCAGCAGTTCAAATAGACGTTCCACAGGCACCGAGGGGTAGGGGTTACCACCCAGCGTAAAAATCTCCCACAGTAAAATGCCGTATGACCACCTGCATAACAAAATGTCAGCATAAAAAAACAGTTATCAACCATTCTGATATTAAAACAAGACAATAATTCAGAAGCAAACACCAGTATTCCTTTCGGTCAACAACACTCAATACCGGTTATTCTTTTCGAAAAACAAAATGCTCAATACCAAAAATTTCTGGAGAAAATACTATGCAATACAAATGAAAATAACAGACTGCTTGAAGAAATTTTTCCCAACAGGAATGACTAGCAATAATATTCTTGTGATAATGAAAAATAATCTCAAATTATACTTACACATCACTCTTGGAAGTATATTTGCGGTCAAACAGGGCCTCTGGAGCCATCCATTTCACAGGCAGACGACCCTGAAAAGATTAAATATCCTAGAAATAAATATCTGAGAACTTTGACGTCGGATACCCTATAGATTACATTTCCCATGAACTGTTGTTTGTCATGTTGTTCTCCGTTAGAAGAATTTTCTAGTCAAGAAATACATCAAACCCGATACTTTAAAAACTGTAAATTCAAGGCTGCCCAAACATGGGTATTTTTTTCTTAGAAGCAAATATTTTATACTGCACAAAATCAAATGTAATTTTTTTTACGAACAGAAAATTAACCTTTCTTCAATAAAAAGACTTTCATTAAAACTCCATAGAAATGTGTTAATTTACCGATTCAATTTTTCAGTAAGAAAAATTACTTACGTCTCCTGTTTTTCTATAGTAATCCACATTGGTAATATTTCTTGTAAGACCAAAGTCGGCAATCTTCAGAACGTAGTCTTCTGACACTAAAACGTTTCTGGCCGCTAAATCTCTGTGGATACACTGCAGAAATGGCGAGAAAGAAGACCATTATATAAAATATAGCAAGCACAAAGCTATCAAAGCCACTGGAGAACATTTGTTATTGTCCAGAGACAACTGTTTTGTTTATAGAATATTAAAGTTATTACTAACAAATTATGCACCAAACCATGCCTTTTGGATGGGGTTGAGGCATGTCAATAAGTGCCACAATGCCCCAATAACTGTGAATCTTTTACTCGTGAATAAAAACCAGGATTATTGAGTTAGGATGATCAAGGCTGTATACAAGACGTCGTAACTACTCACCTGTCGGGAAGCAAGATATTCCATGCCTCTGGCTATCTGGTAGGCAAAACATATTAGGTCTTTTTCTGTGAGAGCTCGGTCGTCACTGTCCAAATTTGGTTTCTCATAACCTGAGCTTGGAGGTCTTCGCGACCGCAGGAAGTCGCGGAGGTTCCCGTGTGGAGCATACTCCACCACTACATATAGGGGACCTGTAACAGATTGTTCATTTATATTTAAGTAAAGTGGACCTTTATCAGGAATATTCAAATACATTTAAAAAGCTTTAAGGAAATACAATTTACAAAAGTCTTGAAAGTTGAAAAGTACAGAATCTAAATAAACCTTTATTGGTTTAGGACTACCACCTAAGGTATAGATCTAGGAGTTTTTTTAAGATGGAAAGCTTTGTATAGTTTGATCTTACAGTTTATAATGCTATGCTAGGTAATTAGGCATTGGCTAGACACCACTGCTGGGCTTACCGTTTTGTGAACAACATCCAAGTAGGTTGATGATATTTTTATGGCTGCCGATTAGCTTCATCATTTCCATCTCCGTCATCAGATCTGTTAGCTCTCGATCTGTAGCATCCTCTGTAATGGCAAACGGACGTCAAATTCAAACTTGTACCGGACAATTATAACAGGTTTCCTTTCTAATGACACATCTAGCATCGTGATTTATAGGACACAAGGATACAAATTATTTATATTTGGGCTGGAACTGGTAACCAAGTTCACAGTATCGGTTTGGTAACGAGTGCTATCCGGTAAGCAAATCCGAGTATCCGAAAAAAACGTCCCAAAATGTAGGTCGGTATTTTTTTTATTAAAATAAAGAGCCATTGGTGGCCGTATTTCATAATACAAATTATGAAGATTTACAGAAGATGAACAAAGTCTTACAACACAAACAGAAATTCACCATATGATGCTCTCTGTTAAACATTAAGACGGCTTACCTTTTAACATTTTGACAGCAACCACGGTGGACGTCAGAGGAGAAGACTTGAGGCCCATGGCTTCAGCCCTCATCACTAGACCAAAGGCTCCTTCCCCAAGAGGTTTACCCAACGTCAATCTACAAGCCCAACCAAATAATATTACTTCACTCCAAACAAACAATGGTGTGAGATAGTAAGGGGCAGTCGTCCTAAACACTTTACAGTTGCGACTGATAAACAAGAGGCCAGGTGAGCTAAAAACAATCTACATCAAAACTTGCACTGGTCAAAACACACCGGAGTAGATAGAGAACACACATTTTTTCCAGACAGTTATTTTGTATCGGTGTAATTCCTTACCTGTCACGGTTAAACTCCCACTTGCTGTCCAGCGGCAGGTCATACTCGAACATACAGGTAAGGTCGGATGAGAGACGCCGACGCCTATTTGAGTTCTCGATGCGAACCTGAGGAATAACTAGGGGTTGTCCTTCTAATGAGGCCTTGTCCGGATAGTAGATCTCATTCTGTAAAATCAACAGGGACATGAGGAGAGGTCACCGAAAACCTAAAAATTCATCTCTTTATAAACCGCAAGATGAGAGGAGAATAAACTTTTTCTTTTACTGACATAAAACATCCAAAGCTAGATCATGGCTATGTATCTTCATAATACTTACAGCTTTCAGAACAATAACTCGTTTCACACAGCCATATTTCCCGCGTGAATTGTACTTGCGACGACAGACGACGATGAGAAGGATGATGACGATGATGAAGACGAAGCAGAACACAGAAACAACAGCGATAATAGTGTACTCTTTTGCTGAACTTCGGGGCGCCTCTTGTGCATGCCTCATGTTTGAAAGACTTTCATTCCCAGGTACATCTAGTTGTTTATGTAAGAAGAAAATCATGACAAGTCAATAACAGTCCACAATGTACAGTGTGTGTAATTATCACTACATTAAACTTAAGGAATGTATGCTTTCCACCTGAACCATACAATCTTGTGACATTCAATTCTAAGTCTGCTATGATCAAAACACTAAATTTTCAAGCTTATCAGAAATTCTGTAAAAAAAATTTTACATGAAGAGAAGTGTGACCAAGCAACCTATGTCACAGGCAAAAACCAGTTACTGATACAGCTTAAGTATCATGCAGGTTTCTAACCATGAAACATGGGATCTCGTCTGAAGCACGTATCCACTTGTTTTAATCCTGTATTTCAATGTTATGAAGTAATCTTACCTTCTACTGTCAGCCATGCACTTCCAAACCGCCTTCCAGCGAAGTTGGAGACAAGACACGTGTACCAGCCTGTGTCGGACCGTGACACGTTGATAATTTCTAGTATTTCGGGGTTAGTCATGTTGTATGTCGATTGCTGCAGGAATCAAAGAATCAAAATTAGTTTCTTTGATTATCAAAGTTTTACATATATATATATTTATTTTTAAATTCTATGATATATAATATAAATCATCACATAGAGACACAGTGAATAATGATATTATCCGTCAAATTACTTATCTAAAGCAAGATTTGATTTTCAACAAACATTTTTCTTTTCTAGATGTTACAACAACAGCTTCAATAGAAATACAGTCTTAATCAGTACAGACCAGACAAAGATCTTTACAGTAAATAAAAGATTATTTCTCAAATCACTCATGTAAGGGAAATAGGATATCACAACATCAAAAGCATTCATCAGCCAGAGGTGAGGTTTCTGGACAAAAATCTGGGCTAAAGTTGCTGTTAGCTTCATATCTCATCCTAATTAGTGATTGGGTAGGACAGAAAAACATGCAAATCAACTGAGGTCAAAACAAAACAACACAGGACATCAGCTATTCTCATTCCAGTCCTTGGAGTCTATCCGGGTTATCTCCCTTTGAGCACTTTCTGGTAAATCAAGATTTTGTTTGTTAAATCACATGCTGTCTCACAGTGCAATATATCTAAACTGGCGTCATCTGGAGCAGTATGGTGCACATTTATAATATAGGTCAAATTTCTGTGAGGGGAAATCTAATCGGACTTCAGGAGACATACACAAGCACTGACACACAACAGACTGGTGGTACGGGGTTTCAACATACATGCAGTTTGTCTTTTGTAAAAACAATACTATAAAACTTGGAAGTCAATTTGACACACACACACACGCAAGTCAATTTGACACACATAATAAAATTTGACACACACACATATTCAGTGACGGTTGCATTCAAATAGTTATTATGGAGGAACGTGGTAATTTCAAATGACAACATTTATGCAGTCAAGCATAACAACACAGATTTTGTCATTGATGCAGAGTATTGAAACTTGTCATACCCTACGACCCTGAAAACGACACAAGAAAACAGATTTTATCACTAAGTATAAAATGTAGGGGTAATCACCACGACTTGATGGCGTTGAGTAAACATATAATATTTGGCTGAACGGGAAGCAGTTTGGGTAAAAACCTCCCACGTCTACAGCTGAAAATCAACAATCTTGTTTAACAATTTCACTTACAAAATATTAGGCTTTCCCAACGTCACAAACTAATTGTTTGAAATCAGGAAATACACATGACAGTTGAAAACTTCAAAAAATTATTTGAAAGCACTTGTTGAACATACATATTTTATATTTTCTTAAATTATCCATTTAATTAATTTAGCAAAAATTCGAATTTAGAGATTTTTTTTAACTGAAATTCCCCATTATGAAGACTTTTATACAGAAGTTATACATATATGTACATTCCGCTTGTCAAGGTAGTTTTCATTAACTTTTCCAATAAACTTTACTCCACAAAATTCCTCAATTATCAACTTTATAGATGTACTTATAATCTCCAATCTCCTTTCTTCAGAATAATTATGCTATTTAGATATGAAGTTAATTTCTACCATTAAGTCTCATCTGTATTATAATTTTTTTAAATTTAATTTGATCTGAACATGACCATAAATAAACACTTTTCACAAAACATCAGTCAATTGGTCATTCAGTCTTTATTAATCCCAATGTCTGCAGCCAGACATAAATTATTCCCATTGAGGTTTTTTTTTATCCTGGTGATATTTATTTACTTTTTCCCCCCAAATATTAGCATTTAATTTAGATTGAATGGGCCATCAATCCAGTATGTACAAGTGCTAATTTCACCACACATTACGACTCTTTATACTTGTTTTTACTTTGGAATCTCATGTCAGCATTTCCATAGTAATAGTCATGTTAAACTTTGTAAAGGAAGATTAATATAACCACTGATACAGCTTACCCAATATTGGTATCAAAATGTTAACTTGATTTCTTTATAAGCATTAAAATATCTCCCAGATAATGGAACTGATACCACAGAAATATTCATTTTTTTATTTTTCAAAGGCTCTATTACCATAAACTGTATGTTTCATTTTACATCGACTTGCAAGACAATCAAACCAATAAATATCTCTCTATGACACAAGTAAACATCGCACATATTGTGGTCATTGTTTCCTTCTGAAGTTCTTATCCTCAAGAAAATGTCATCGTTATGACAATCACGAAAACGTCGATTCACTTCAATGAAGTTTACAGAATCAGAATGACCTGTTACGATCCTTCCCTTTATTTTACAGGTAAACGTGACATGGTGATGGTTACGTACCTGTATGACATGGACATACGGGGTGCCGTCTGGTTTTCGGTACGTTCCATTGATCTGGTAGTGTTTGACCCACTGTATATGCGCCTGGATGTCACTTTTAACCTTACAGTGGAGTTTGACATTTTCACCAATGTAAGCTGTTGTGTTTACCGGACCTTCCACATCGGGCTTCTGTACATTCCGGTCTACAAAAATAGCAATCGCAAAATATTAATATTTTTGACATTATTTTAAAATCGAAGTCATTACTCTAACATCAAGGTCATAAACTTTCCACGAAACCTCCTTATCCCTCTTATTTGTAGAATACTTCAATTTATATATATTAACTATGCCAGATATCTCAAACCTCAAACTACCTGTACAAAATGGATTAATATACACAACCACTTAAAAACAATTTTAAGAACTGCAAAATAACTGAAATTTAAACACCTGTGATACACAACTTGTATGTGTAACGCAACACTGGATTTAATTCAGAGATGACTTTTTCTGATTAACTCAACAAATATTCAATTCAAAAGATTTCAGTTAGATTATTTTTGTTAAAGAGTACAAATTTAAATAGAATCTACCTGCTGTCAACATCTCAAACTACACTAATTTAACAGCTTGAACGAGAACCCGGAACAGCCATCAGAAATATAAACGAATAATGTTTCTGGCTTTGAATTATCAGAATTATTAACTTAACAAACAGTCCAATTTTTTTTTAAAAGCTTCAAGAACATAACATTTCCCCCTACAAGATGTACATATCTCTCGACGACTAACCAGGCATACAGTGTAAACTTTCCTCCAAGAAACTGAGGTCTAAGTTTACAACATTAATAGGAAATAAAAGCTTAAAGCCTTCCGAACAGAATTCTCAACTAATTACAAACAGACAGAGGGTGACTTTCTGAAATAATTTCCCAGCTCTTTAATAGCTAAGGGGTGGTGTCGTCTTCAGTTAGGAGAGCAGGGGAGTAAAAACTCCAGCGTCAGAGTTAGGATAAAAACAGTTGCACCATGCAGTGCTGGATGCAGAAGAAGATTTGAGAAATAAATGATTGGCAGATGATCATGGAGTATTATCAGTTGGTAATTTACGACAGGGAGAGAGGGGGTGATAGACAAATTGATTTATCAGTTATGTGACCAATTACAGTAATGTCTATGGTGGAATCCGTTCCTGGAGGGGGTGAGAAAATCATGAGATTCTATCGCACTGCAATGCTATGGCAAACATCAAGTGGCGCTCTCTCCCCATATCTTGGTCACACATAATAACAAGCGAGAAAGCCTCACACTTTCCTTTCTTTAAACCAGTGAGGAAGGCCCACACTAATCTAGGGAGGAAGGCCCACACTAAACTAGGGAGAAAGTCTTACACTCTTTCCCTTTATCTACTTAATCCTTTCTCCTATCTTCTGTATCTCTCCGTTTCTTTTTTCCTGGAGTGTAAATGTCAGTAATGGAGATGGGTCCTGATAACTTACTATCCACCTCCATTAGAGTCAACCACTTAACACAATATTCACAATTCTGATGGAAGAATTCAAACATTTACTTTCAATTTCGTTTCCTTCACAATTTCCAAAAAAATATATTTTAAAAAATGCTTTTAACATTCCCTTCTCTGTACTTATCTAACTGAGTGACTAAACATAAATTTTGGATTAACTTACTTTCAATTTTCTCAGATTTATTCAAACAGGTCAAATAATTCAAAAAGAAATCAAATTATCATCCAGATTTCAAATAACCTAGCCTTTGGTTTTTTAAGATAGTGATCCCACTTTTTCCTGACACCCCTGGTTTACAAATGGAACTCAGTTTTTTATAAATGTGTCACAACTAGCTATAATGGTAAAAAGTTCTACAACTTGCACATGTCGACCACAAACATACAGTCATTTCATCGGAATTTCAAAAAGCCATGTGTTTACAGTGAAACATCTAAGTGTTCTGATTGACCTTAAATTTTACTTCATAGAACTTATCCAGCAAGAATTCAGAAACACTGAAAACAGCTCTGTTGCATTTATACTGAACTCTCAATTATTATTATTTTCACTGAAAACAGAAAGCTTGTTTCTTTTTTTAATGATTTTCGACTCTAATTGAAAAATATGAAAATGAAATGACCTTATTTATTCACAATATACTGAAATGAAGACAAGAAATATTGAAGTAATCTGAATAAATATATTACAACCAATTTCTTGACGAACAAGGTTTCTGTAATTTTGTGTTAGTTTCAACAATGAAGGTTCTGTACCTATGACTTCAAGCATGTACATCCACATAAGTTTGCCATATCTGTTCTGGATCATGCAGGTGTAGTTGCCATTGTCCTCGGTGGTCAAGTCGGTCATCTTCAGCTTGTAGCCGTCCACTTGGTACTGTAACATCCAAGTCAATATAGGTCACATCAACTGGAAATACTGACCTATTGTAGGTAATTATGTTTACACTGTGTACTGACTTAAAGGGAACACAAATCCTTTTGAAATCTTTCATGAAATTCTTGAAAACTTATCATGATGATCATGAGGGGGATAAACCTTTCATGACAAATTCCTTTCCCATATCTCAGGATCTTTGTAATGAGATCAGACTTCCTGTCGATACACTTGCAGGAGGCCACTCCTGACTGACCACAGCTGACCACTGGCCAGAACATCATAAGGACCGGTCTCAGCTCTCAGAATTGATACATGTAGTTTAATGAGTAACTAATTTCTAGCATGCTTCAAGCTGATCATATCTTGATTGGTTGATAAATCGGTAAGAACATACTTCTGATGATAATTGTTGACTAACTTGCTTTGGCAGATTGAGATAAACACTTCACTGAACCAGCAGCAAAGTAAATAGGTACAGTTTTGTACCTGTTAGCCACCCCGGATTAACAAACACCCGTAAAATCAATGTTCCATGAAAACATTTTTTTTTTTTTAAATTTCACTTTGTATATTCTTAAACATTTTTAACATCGCAAATCAGAAAATTCACGTTCCTAAATTCTTAAAACTTTACACAAATTCTAGTTATTGGTTTATTATATCTTGTTTGAGGGTCAGTGACTGCTGTAAGCAGTACAAGTACCTGTAGTAAGAGTCTATGTTAAGAGGTGTAGGATGCAGCACCTGTGACTAACGGAGGTCGCTAGACCATGCACACAGTGTCTAGAGAGGAACCAGAAGTGGAGGCTAGGAGAAGGCCGTGGATTATGGAAAGTGATTGAATGTGGATGCCAAATCCAATTAAATGCGAGGATCTGGTAGGGATAAGAGCAGACCCAGGCCCTAGTCTCTGTCAGATCGCTCCCTATATTTTTGGATTTTTTGGCATATGGCAATATTTAAACCCATAAGCCTGGAGTGGCACAGGAGAAGGTGTGCATGTGGTGGCGGCTGTCCATGCTGGCGGGTCTGCATTTTCTCTGGACCTGTTCGTGTGCTTTACCAGAGTGTCTATCCAGTCTCCCCCTCCTCTCTACCCCACCTCAGGTTAAGTTTGGTTAGATTAGTTTCGGAATTTGAATCTTACTTTTAGTTTAACCTGCTCTACAGGAGTGAGATAACTTAAAACCTTGAAAGTGTTTTATGAAAGGTTAAAATATTAATCTATATCATTTTTACCTTTTTTTTTTTACAATGTATGTACACCTGCACTCTATACATTCTACACTCTCAGATATTCATCTATCTACGCAATAGATGTTTATTTAAAAATTTACAACGGCTTAAACATTTAATAATATTCTATTCAGAAAGGAATGCAAAAGGTTTTTCCATTTAGCTCGCCTGTATATACGTATACAAACAAACAAATTGATATATCCTCCAGTGCAAGTTGTTGGAAGCCGTGAAAGTTACAAGATTTACAGCTAACCAAACTTATAAAAGCTGCTGTCTGTTTTTATACGGACAACACATGTTAGTCCCCAGCCATATTTCCCCTAATATCAATTTCCCAGCCTTTAATCTAATTTCCTAAACACCATCCTTTGTGTGCTTATAACCTCCTTATGGTGTACATATACGTAGGCCTCCCATTTTTGGCGGTACATTTCCCATTTTTGGCGGTACATTTCCCATTTTTGGATACAATGAACTATGATTTATAGACAAGTCTTGATTTTTATTTTCATGTAGTGCTTGAAAAAAGATGAATACAGAAAAGTTCTGATAGAGTGTTAACAATTGGCATGACTGTTTGGCCTATTGTGACATTGTATTTTCTAAAGAAAAATGACGTCAAAAAATCTAGCTTTGTGACATATATAGTGACATGGTTGAATTGTCACTCGAGCTGACCTTTACCTTGCCCTCCTTTACGCTTGAGTCTATGATTTGACTGTTCTTGTACCAGGTGATGTTGGGGATGGGGTTTCCACACGCCTGACATTTCAGTTCTACTGGGGCACGCGCGGGACGTGCGATCCAACGAGAATTCTCTTTGCTCGTCTTCCATATTGGTGCCCCTGCAATGGAGAACAGAATTTAATAAGTTATAATTATTAAAAAATATTCACCAGTGACAATTTTCATAGGCAAAATATTAACCAGTGACAATTTTCATGGGCAAAATATTCACCAGTGACAATTTTCATGGGCTTTTGGAGCTCTAGAAAACCTGGCGAGAAAAATCTGGTGCAATTCCAGGAATATTTGCATACCTCAAAGTGTCAGGATGAAGTTTTGTTCTGTTTTGATGTACTTAAGGTGAATTTGGACATTCTGGTTGTGTAGGTAACAAGTTATACCCCTGTCATCGCGTTACAAACAACAGGTCTCGCCACATTCCCGAGAGGTTATGCCATGCTGGTCCCCGATAGAAGTATTAATTGTTGACATGTCAGATATAATTTAGCACATTGCAGTTTGATTGCAGCCCGGCCCTCACACACAATGTAAATGATGCTTGTACCACCACACACAACAAAGTGGCCCTTTGTTGAAGAGACATGGAGTTCACAGGCCACTATTTTTCGTAAAAGGTGTCTGGTGGTTTTTCACTGTTTAAACCATAAATAAGGATAAAAAGTAAATCTGGACATTTTCACCAGTCTGTAAAACTAAACTACTGCAACAGGCTGGAAAGTCTGGTTCACTTTTCATGTTTACTCTACCAGAGAGATTTAAATTAGCTTGAACTATTTTCAGTAATGATCAGTCAATGCAGTCAGTAAGTGACCATTGTTTTATAATTCAAAACTCACAGACACTTTCTACTAAATAACAATATCAACCATTTTCACAAAATGGGCCTTATATAACTGACATTTTTGTACATTGAATTCTAGTAAGTGGTATGACCAGACACTTAACACGCATTTCAACTTCAGACTAGATCCAAATTGTCAGGTTCCACCATATCTCACCTAGTCCGAGAACCTTCGACAATATTCAAGTCGTCAGCTAATATCTATATATATACAAATACAAAGAGCTGAGTCCTGGACACTAACATCTAACCTTTTGTCTACGGAACATGGTAATTTCAGCACTAGGGGACGAAGAAGAACAGACCACACCTTCACTAGTAGCCTTTTGTGTAGTGGTTTTCCACGATAAACCCATGTCAGATCTGTCAGAAATGTTAAGGGGAGGGGCAACGATTCTGGTGACGAGGTCATAAAACTGTCACATAAATTTACAATTATCTCTTTGATGCATCAAGCAGGAATACATCTACATACTTTTACAGTGCTTTCTCTTCATGAAATTGAAAATGAACAGAGAACATATATGTAAACCACTACCTTGTTAATTAATTTCTATGTAATGTAGAACTGCTTTTGTTTCTTCACATCATATTTTCAATGAAAATGTTAATCCTTTATTGTATACAGGTTTTTGGGACTGGCATGGGCCCCCACCGTCTAATTTTTGGTTTGACTATTCTTTCAAATGAACTAAGTATCGGGAATCAATGAAGTCAGGATTGTGTTTTAAAACCGTAATCTTGAGACCTTCAACATTGACACGCGATGTGCATTCAATTTTAATGACTTGTTTAATGCACCTGGAGACAAGCTGTATCTGAAATCTTTACTGTTATTATATTAGGAATATTTTACAAATAAAGATACGATTTGTCTCTGTGATGCTCTGACCCAGTTAAATTGGGTCAACATATTTACATCTTTACACCAGATTCAACTTTTCAACTCTACCAGGAGAGTTCAGATCTAGGGGAGAATGACACACTCACATGTTAATAAATCAACACTTAAGCTACACAGAACTTCAAAAACAAAACCTGACTCACACTTAATTCTATATAAAGTTACATCTTATAGACCACAGTTAGTTCTATAACCTATGCTAATAAAACACAGACAAGCTAAGAAGCATGATCAATTATGCGACTTTTTAAAAATGAAGAAACACTTAACAACCCTCTCTTCTAACTTATGGGATGTACATTGTATTTCTGAAATTTTCTTTTTATATACATTGTATCTGTACATCTCAGAGAAACTTTTTTAGTTTGTTGTCAATAATTCATGGACAGGAAAAGAAAATGTACAAGAAATATTGCACATAACTTTTTATATTAAATATTTCACTGATGCCTTAAGTCACTTTAGCAGACTTGTAACCAGAACTGGGAGGAGGAATCTCGTACATCTGAAGTGTTTGCGACTCCAAACTTGTGTGGATCCATATGGTATGAATCAGTAATGGTCTGTGGTATAACTGTGACACTACAGCCCCCAGCCCCTACTGTGAACGGGTGTACACTCTCCCTAGGGGCTGTGGGAAGAGGGCAGAAGATGGGTAGTAGCGGAGGGGAGGGGGCTGGAGGGGGGTCATAGGGTGAGCAGGGTACACACTTCACACATATACACAAAGCAGCACCTCTGATACTTCCACTAACACAGACACACCACATGTGGCTAGCTTCACCCCTTGACATATATCTGGACCAGGCCTAAATGGTCAAGCATGGTCAATTGCAATCTGACATCTTAATTTCCCCTCTTATAGATGATTTTTATCCTCTGCCTAACCTCTCCATGGCAACAGTGTACTTCAAATGGAGCAAAAATGTAAAATAAATCTATTTACATGAAAATTGAATTTATATTTCAACAAACCAAGTGTACTTTAAAACTGAAACCAAACAGTTTTTGAACCATTTTAATAAGAAATAGACTTTAACTTTTCAACAACTAAAAGCTACGATTTGATCAAAGATTTGTTGAGAGATAAAATACCTGTACCAGGTTCTGTGGGCCTGTGTCATTTGTACATGTTAGTGGATTTTCTCAGATTAAATACCACGGCTATATTACTATAGTAACAGAGCACAATTGTTTGTGAATAGAAATATTTCGGAGACCACAGACACTCCTTACAGATTGTGTTTCTCGTGACAACTGTCAAGTTGTTTTGAAAGGTTTAGACGTCTTAAAACTCAAACTGTGAGAGCTATAATGAGTCACCGGCTAGGCCCCCCTAAAGAGGGAAAACCCAGCTGGGATATTTAAATTCAAATATTACCAGCGTACATATACTGAATATGTTCTAACATCTTTAAAAACTGATAAAACCAGACCTTTTCTACATTTTCCTCAAAATGGTTCTGTCCAGATTTTTTATCATATATATATATGAAGTAGTTATTACATTTGTTGAAGTTTTCATTTTTTTATGAAACGTGAACTTGATAAATGGTAACTAGACGGCATGTATGCTTTTGAAACTGATCATGAACTTCATATGATTTTTTTTCCATTTTCAAGATTTGGGATATTTTTGTCTGCATTATTTTAAGACTTTTAGATGAAAATTTAAATAAAATACAAACTTTTACTTTTGAAAAGTAAAAAGAAATCAATGAGGAGGAAATAAAAAATACCAGCCTAATACTTCTTGATCTAAAGTGAATGTTAAATGAGCTGTTGAGAAGCGGTATTTCCTCCAACAATCTATGATAATCTGACACCAATCAATGGTCCGGACCCCTGGTACAAGAGCTGCTCCCCAAAATGGTAAAATGACCAAATCCGTTTTAGCAGTGCATGGAAACTGATCTACAAGATCAATTTGTGAGTTTTGTTAGCAGAATGTTATATCTAGAAAACCATCAGCCACAATGATACTTTAGATATTGTGTCTCAGACAGGACCTTCACCCCTATACCCCCTCCTCTGATCTAATCTTAATCTACACACAGCTTTCTGTCTTCCCATTCCTTTCTACTGTCCGAGTTGTAATTCTTATCGCTAGATTTGTTTGTACTTAAATACTACAAACTAGTGGCTATTTACACCAACTATTCCCATACCATTACGTACCAAAGACTTCTAGATTGAAAAGAACTTTCCGACCTTTTTTCTCAGGATCTCTTTCAAGGTTGAATTTATTAACTCTGACCCTGAAGTACAGGGTTCTTATATATTTACTTTTAAATTAAACAGAATTTTCTTTGTGATCTAAGCAAAAATCCTGCAGGTAAATCCCAAGTACGTCCTAATGATTACACACATTGCACTGTAGATTATTAAGATACAAGTGTCATTTGTAGTTTAACTTAAGAGTGAAAGCATGGGCCAAATGAGACATTAGCTTGCACAAGGACAAAACATGAAATGTAATAGGTCATAAAACCCTATACTTGTTGTGAACTTCACTATGTAACCACATTTTAACATCTAAAGGTCAAATACACTGACCTTAGAATAACAATATCATATAGAGTTTCATCTGTCTAGAAACCCCAGCCATTCCAATCATACAGATCTAGAGCCAATGTTGTTTTCTATTCCTTCACATATATATAGATCCCATACATTATTTTGTGTAAAACTATAATGCTGAAAAATGATTTAGTAATTGAATGTCATCCGTCCCATATATCTTCATTATAACATATATATTTCAGGATTTTTTCTCTCTCCACAAAATAGATATCATATAAAATTGTTTAGTATTCAGCGTCAATTACGTTATATGTATTAACAAATTCAGGCCAAAAAACTAGGCTACGTATTTAACAGAATACAGTCAACGAGGACACATCTGTGTGTAATACATAACGTGCTTTCGTGTGATGTCATTTTTTAACCACTGAATTCAGAGATAATGTTTATCGTACGAAATGTATAATTTTTCCACTGCATCGTGCGCTGAGATGAGATGCTATATTTAGACGATTGTAAGTCCTGTGTATAATGGGTTACTTACACCCCAGGTTACATCAACTGTGAAATATCAAGATTCAAATCTTGTCTAGGTAACCCTTGCTCTAGATCATTAACAAGCCGAATTTTCTCAAAATTGACACAGCTGAATAATGACACACAATACAATTTCTGTGGTACGTTATCAAGACAAATGTTCCTGATATATACTGTTGAAGATATTAGGTGTACTTCGTGGAATGTATACCCTGAGATTTTCTCCTTGGCAATATATGTATTTCTTAAATATAATCATGGCCAAGATTTGGGCTGCGATAGCACCTTTTTGTTACTACAATACGTGAACTCCACAAACCGTACTTATATTAGGAGACTAATAATCTACAGATAATTTGTAGAAAATAGATTTTTTCTGCAGCCTCTCAATGATATAGTTAACGAGATTTTGGTGAGGAGACTCTTGCTACTTAAAAACTCTGCTGAAATAATTACACCACAAGGATCACAATCTAAAGAAAACAAACATACACGATAGGGTACACCATCATCTGGTGATCAGGGCCCACTACCTGTTCTGTGTGTTGTTTCTACATATTTAAAGACTTGTATTCGTCTAATCTGTACACTTTCAGGCCCTCTACGCCCATCAGACAGGAAACTCACACCACACTTTTCTTATAGCTTTAATCCCAAGCTCTCTCTAATATCCACAAAATGTTGACTGCAATAGGTGACAATATTGCACCAATTTAATCCATTTTTTTCTTCTGATTTCCAAACTGGGTTGTTTCTATTAATTTTCTATGGCAATGCTAAATGCTGCCTTAAGCTCAGTTCTTTTTTTGTAACTCTTTCCCTAAGGAATCAATGCAATACCCAACTGAACTTAAAGATACAGAAATTAAATGGTACCACATGCAGTGACAGGTACGTATACATTGAAACAGATCCGACAGTGGCTTCGTTTGTTTCCGCATACAGCGACATAATAAAATGTAAACTTGTTACAAAGACTTTCACTAAGGACGATAGTGAACCAGTAGCGGTTAACTGTACGTTTTAACCCTTTCACCCCTAGGTAACTTTGGTAGACTCTACCATCAATATATCTGGATGAGTCCATTGTGGTGCACAGTGGTGAAAGGGTTAAGCGTACAATGAGGCATTAATGGGTGTGAGTTAGGTACCTTCTTCTTTCTTGTTACATTTGGAGATGGCATACGACTGTTCCACTGGCTCTTCTTCTTCCTCTGTAAAACAAAAGGTAAACTTTTTTATATATCAACCGATCGGGTTAATCCATTAACCCCCTGATATTTCATAATGAACTATTCCAACCTTTGAATTGGAAGAGTTCAAATGTGTCGCAAGGGGTGAATGAGTTAAAATGAAGTGTGTGTAAACTTAGGGCTTTAACTATAAACGCTTCATCCTCATCATAATTTACTAGTACACTAACAAGTACTGTACTGTCATATATAGACATAATGTTACTGTGTACATCACATTGTCATACTAAAGACTTTCTGGCTCCAACTGACCAGAGATCTCACAGTTTGAAATAATTTACTTCAAATAAACATAGAGACATACTGTATTCCCGCTGCTTTATCAACTTTGTGACTGAAATGCGTCAAAAAGTGAGTCTTTGACTGGAGATGTTGAAAAGCTAGTCTTTGATGGAGATTAAAGCTAGTTATATTTCCTGCCATGAAACATGAAGCACACATCATAACTAATCTGTGCACAAAGACCTAACACTAATTCATAGGTGACAGCCCCCATTTTCAGATTTACAGCCTCAAACAGTGTATGAAGTCATTCACACCTCTGGTACATGCCACAACTTCATATCATATGTGTCTGATGGCACCGCCTAAATTAGGAGGCTCCATGCAGACTACTGCTCAGCAAATGGGTTCACACTATAAACAAATGTTTATAATGAGTTATGAAAATCTGTGAACCGAGTCTGGGTGAGGCAGCAGTCCCTGGGTACAGATGATCCCTACCTCCTGTGTATAGGGCTCCATTTATGGCCCTTTGTAAAATACTGCCCTAATAAACTTCACTGTCTGGCTTCACTGTTAATCTTGCATCTTTACAACAAAGTTCTTAAAATGGGTTTGTCAGCTAGTGGGTTGAAATTTTGTTTAAAATAGCACATCTTGTTTTAAACAATGTTGTCGTTTTTATTAATTCAATTTTCATTTTCAGACTTGTTAAATTCCGTCTACTTTATATATATATTAGATGATGTTCTAACAAAGAGATATGTTTTTCAGTTCACGATTTAACTAAACTGACAGAGCTTTAATGTCAGCCTGTAATGTTTAGTGATGAAAACCAGGGATGACTGGTGATGTCCTTGCTCGACCCTCTACCATCCTGGAGCCGAAAAAAACATCAGATACCCATATCCTTGTTACATAGACTTTGCTCTCATTCCCAAGCAATTTTGTAAAAACCTTCAAACAATAGAAAATTAAAGCTGGCCGTATGTATCGCAATACGATGAAGGGAAATGAGTTTTGATGTGGTAATTGTATGTAACTGGTTTGACGACTGCTAAGTTAAATCTGACCGCCTCGTGTTGCTTTAGTCAACGTGCGGTTACATATATTTCTTCATTACTCAGGCCTAGTTGGTCTCATGTCTCGACCTCTACTGATAAAACAGATACAGCTATCTGGTTTCCTTTCATTATAGACTCTGACACATGATAATTCCCTCCCGATTCAGTTCACCTCAGTTATATCGGAGCATAGGGAAAAAACGCAGTGCTATTCCAGAGATATATATGGTCGATCTGATCCAAATTTAGTCGAGTAAAATAGTACAGGTAAGGGGCGTTATGTGAAAAATAATGCCATTTTTCATAATATATGGTGATCTGAAGCAGAAATAGTTTGACTCTTAGATGTATATACCGACCATACTATATAGTCAGTACCCGAAGCTCCAACGACACTTGGCTTCACCGAGTTATGATCAAGTACTCGAGGCTCGCATCTCCGTGAATCCAAAATAATTCATTCCCAGAAAACCTACTAAACAACCTTAACCAGATGATATGTGAAAATTTAATTCCATTGCTTTTAAAACTCAAAGTTCACGAATTTGAAATAAGAACCTAATATCAACCATCTCTGTTCCCCTTTGGTCACAGGTTGTTCAGCACATATCAAAATATATATTTATGACAAATAGATTTGTATAAGGTCCCAGTCTATCCGTATTAAGCTGATTATGGTTATATACCTGTCCTAGATATTGACAATCAAGTTATACCATACCTGTGATAACCGTTAGCGTAAAAGTGGTTGAGATGTTGCCGAGTTCGTTCCATGCGAAGCAGGAAAAGACTGCGGTATCGTTGCGGTGAACTTTGTCTATGACAAGTGCATTTCTATTGATTTTGTACCTGTAACGAAAAATTTGTGAAAACTTCAACAACTGATTATGCAAAAAGTTTCATTTCTATGAACAGACTGGTTTGTATTTTAAATTGCACAAAACTGCTAACACTTGGTCTGAAAAGACAATTCAGCCAGGGTTTCTTTCTTTTTTGGGGGGGAGGGGTCAATATAGCCATATCAGAAATTACAGTAGATCATCAAACTCGAGTTTCAGTAAAGTCAGAGGCGTGGGTAACGCATAACTAAAATCTCAGTAAAGTCTGGGTCTACCGAGATGCTTTTAAGATTTGGAACAACAGAAATCAGTTTGGAAAAGTCACAATAAGGGGAAATATTAAAGTAAAGGAATTGTTTTTAATACACTTTCGGTATCAAAATTTCCCATATTCATGGCGGTTCATTACTCATGATCCAACAACCTGATTTCTGTTTGAAAAGTATGAGTAAGTTCTCTTTTCTGTTGTTGGGTGAGAATTAGTTTTTTAGATGTTTACCTAGGGTCCTGTTTTGGAGTGAGGCTCTGGTTGTTTTTGGTCCAGGCAATCCAGGGTCGTGGATGTCCCTTCACCACACATCGTAGCCTCGCTTTATCGCCTTCATACACCTTCAAGTCATTAATTGGCTTACTGTCCTTTAATTCTGGTGGGCCTAGAAAATTGATACACAAAGTCAACAAAGGTAATTAAAATACGACAAACACAAATATTCGTATTACTTGAATCTTGCATAAATTTACACAGTATAACGTCAGTGAGCGGAAATATCTTTTAATAATTTTCAAAATGGAGCTTTGTTTATTTACCAGGTCTAGTATACATGTAGACTAGAGGTTACCAATATTATAAAACATTTGAAGACTTCCTTCCTGTTCCTTACAAAGATACACCCTCAACACACAGACCAATAAACACTACAAACGTTGGTGGGAACTCGAGTGCTTGCCTTTGTTATTCCTATTAGAATCCTCACGAAATATCTTCTAATTTTCAAATTAATGGTTAACTCTAGCTTTGACTGGATTTTCCCTGGAAACTTTATGATCAGGTGAAAGGCATTCTTTTGATCGAACAGGAGTTTTTCTTGAAATCAGTTTCGCATTTACGTTGTAGTAAATTGGCGATTATGAAATCCACATGTGTATACTACTGAAGAGTTGCGGTACATCTGACAACAAGGTTCGGCAGCAAGGCAAACAAACAATGAAACGTGCCTTTGAGAAGCGAAAACAAAAAGGCAAAGGGGCTTATACCCTTCAGTACAAGGAACTCCCTTTAAAACGCTGTAGTCCTCACCAGATCCTTCTATCCATCGTTTTCCTGTATGTGTATTTCTAAACCCATACTAATTATATGTACCTGGTATGCTTAAAAAAACACCTCTTTCTTAACAAAATGTCTTTTAGTAAAAAAAATATTTTGCTTTTCCCATTAAATAGTTTAGATATATATTTTATAAAACTTTTTATGTACTTAAACTATAACTGAGTTACATCTTGTTTCCTCAACGTTATTGTTAAAGTGTGTCATTTCTTGTTTTATTATCATTTTTTGTTACATAATAAATCCTGAGTTTTGAAGAGATAAAATGAAATTTTACATAAAATTCATGAATACAAATTCAGATGAACTTGAGGATTCACTGTTCACTTAGCTTCTATATTGTAGTGGTGCACGTGTTGATTGTCTACATAAATCTGGCCCAAATGTCAGAGAAATTTAAGAAATGCAAAGAAATGTATGCATACTGAAACCTCCCAACATGTTTACACTAATGAAACACACCTGCTTTAAGGGTGTATGTATGTATCCACTTTTTACAGAAACACAGGATATGTTATATCTGGTCACCAGTAAAGTTTTGATAGAGTAAACAGATCTGTTTGAATGAAGGTTTTTGTGACTATGAAACAAATGTGGAACACATTCGAGTCCAATGAAGGACAGTTTGACCACCCTTCCCCCTAGCAATCAGTTGTCGTCAGGTGGAAGATTCTCACAGACTTTGACAATAAAACAATTCACCCAATATGTGTTGCTACCGTTTGAATTTGTTAACTTCGTAAGAGGATTTATTTTCAGCCTTTAGACACTGTTCCTGGTGGAAGTATGCACAAAGCTGCGGATCGCGTTAAAAAGAGTCATTACAGGAGATCTAGGTCACCTGATCTGGCTACGTGTATCTATTCATGTTTAAATTTCAGTTGCCAAGGTACGCATTGAAAATCACTAATTCAAATTTTACTTTAGACATGTTCCTGACAAATACGTCCATTGTTGTCGAGGAAACTAAACAGAGCAGAAATCGACAAAGAAGGAGGATTGTTGTGTAGTCTTTGTGTGTTTGCTTTGGTGAGTGGGGTATGGATGGAGATCCCGATCTCAAGTGTAATATTGTACCATTGTAGGGCTGTCCTGGTATTTGGGATGTTCAGTGAGCGTGACCAGCCCTGAATAGCTACACACACCTCAGTTTTGACCCTGGTGAATAAAAACTTTGCCATGTATACTTTTGTACATTAGACATTTTTGGCGACAGTCGCATCTAGCTATTCGCTGTAGTAACTGCCTGCGTTAGATCGATTCCATCGTCATATTTTGTTTCCGAGTCGGCCTGTGATGTGCATAGCTTGCTTTACACTCTGTCCCTTTGGTTGTTTGTATGTTATGTATATAGGAAGATAACACAGAAACTCAGGTATTTGAGATCCATGTAAGCTAAACTGTGTCTGGTGAACAGTGGGTATAAAACGAGGTTTTATGTAATGACCAAGGTATTCAGAAACTGTACAATACAAGTATGTAGCTTGTGTGATAACATCTTCAGCAATAATTTGAATACTTGTTGAATGTTTGACTCGGGAGTCTCTGCCTATGCACGAGTGACAATGGACTAGGACGTCTAACATGACGGCTGAATCGTACAGACTTCTCCGTGACTTCTGACCTGTCTATACTACCAAGGCATGCTCTACTACTAAGGAACATTAAAGCCTTACTCCCTCAATATTAATGTAGATCCTGTGTTTGGTTAAAAATCCTTCCTCCATTTTTCTTGTAACGTTTTTTAATAAAAAAAAGAAAGATTTAAGATAATTAAGATTGGAATCTTCAAAAATCCATGTGATGATATCCCTGTTAAAATTAGTGTCCTATTATAATACACTGTTTCATTTTTGTCCCACTCTCCATACAGGTCAAAGGTCTGCTTCCATCCATTTACTGTCGATGGGTCATTTGGACACATTCTTTTCCTTCGAAAAATTTTCAAGGCATTACAGCCATTTGAAGGTTTATATGTGTACCTATAGCTAATGGTAAGTATATTAATATACTTTTAAGCAACTTTGAAAAACTGAATTGCTTTGAAACTGATTTTTCAGAAGAAAAAAAAAGTACAAATTTCATCAAGTTTTTAAAATGATTGGGTATACATTATGTACATATGCCTAAAACCCAATTTACTGGAATTGGATATAACTAAGGAAATAATCTATGAAATTTAAAGAACTTCAAAGTAATTTAAAATTTTGAGAAACGAAATTGTGTAGTTCATCTACCCAATTAACTCATTCACCCCTGAAATTTTTATAATGAACTATATATTCCATCCTTAGAATTGGAAGAGTTCAGATGTATGTTCAGGGGTGAATGAGTTAAATATAGTCTGTGACATTTGGTAAATATACTTACGAGTTGGTTTGTCTGCCACTGATATTCCCAATACAAATATCAATACCAGATAAACAAAGCTTGTGCCCATGTCCTCAAATTTCACTACATATATATCATAAATCCAACGTCCTCGGAAAACACAGTAACATTGCGTCGTCACCCACTTCAGTCTAACTCCAAGGAAAGAATATCAGAACTCGGCAAAAATATTTCTTTATAAAATCTTATCCCACATTTAGGCTGAATCTGTATTTTAATCCAGGAAAACGGAAATTTCACATCATCAATAATATTTCAGATGGCACACACAAAGTTGTTTAAAAATGAAGATTATGAATAAATCCTTTGTACGGAGGTTAATCCTTCAATGTGTTGCATCAGAATAGCATTCCCAATTTTGAGTTTTCACACGATCTGCAAAAGAAAATGAAAATCAATTAATATCAAAACTACAACTAGGGAAATATCAAGAAAGATTTAACAAAACTTTTTGTATAAGTTTTATGTCAAAACCATGAGTACTCACGATCCCATACAAGCTAAATTAAGGCCGAGTCCCACACCAATCAGCTCCATGTTGAGAGCAAGCTCTCATATGCTGGATGATTTGTTAAGTGTACTAGGGGTGTGTACTACAGTACGAGTGAGTAATTCTGACATATGGTTGTACCCAACTCTACACTTGACCGAAGACATTCCAGTATGGCAACACATTTACTAGAGTGAAGAAAAAACGTTTAGATCCCTATATATACTCGGTTCACTACACATAATGTCACTTCTAGTAGTATGTACAGTATTTACATTGTAGAGGTGATACAAGTTTTCTGAAACTTTTACTATCAAATTCAATGTTAAAATATACAAATATTATATTGGCATATTAATTACGTCAAAAGCAGAAATGATAAAAGCTGAAACCTTCAAATTAATTGTGAACATGAAGTCACCTTCCCTCCCCATCACTACAACATACTGGAGTAATCAAGCTGACACCATCCTCATATCACTACTCCCTGACCAGTGGAGGAGCTAGGTCAGGTCACCAACAAGTAAAACTCCTCACCAAAGGTTCTCCTTTGTTGTGTCTGCATGATCTTACTTTCATGATCTGTGATCTCTAAATGATATTATTTTCATCACAAGCTCCATACTTACTGCTCCAGCATTTTATCAATAACTGCGATTGATTTTAGTAGTCGTTACCAGTGTGTTTTCCCGATCTCCTGACGTTATATATTGCATGCATATATAGGATGAAATATTTTAGCCCCAAACCAACCTCCCCCCTACACCACACCTTATTCGATACTGTCCTTGATTTTGGCACCAAACCAGAAGTGAATAAGCTGCCCAGTAATGATTTGGTTTTGTTCTCATGGTAACATGCTATATCTTTTTCATGTTGTCATGTTTTACATGTTTTCAAAATATCAAATCAATGTGACCACACAAGAATGATGAGTCGAATGTTGAAGATAATAGCGTTGTATTAGCTTCCCCTCAGGGATATATTTAACTGCAATAATGCAATCTTTCATGACAAATCTTTGCTAACCAATTATGAATATCTTACTTTTTTTTACCTGTTTCTTGTTTCAAAACAAACATCTTTTTTGAATCTGTCATTTATGAAGATAGAATAGCAGGTGAGCAAAACATCTAAACAATTTATTATTAACTTCAAGAATACATTTTCATTTTTTATTTTCATTAAAATGGAACCTATATACATGCAAGTGTTACTAAACAAAACAACTGTTGTTTTTGCATTCTGATATCAGATTATTAGGTTAGATTAAGTGTGGTAGAAAGTTTTAGTTTTATATATTTTTTATAATAATTTTTGGGGGTTGGGGAGGAGAGTTTAACATTTTTACATGATCAACATGTGCAAAATTGCTATAATCAGAAAATACAAGTGTGGCTGAGGTGTTTATCCTATATGGGCTCTATACAAATTTACATTAAACAGTACAACTTGTTTCAAATAAGTGATTTCCCTTAAATGTAGAGTTACAATTCAATAACAATCCCTTATACATACCTGACTTTCCCCCTCAATAGTACGTATGAACAGGTCTGTATTCCTGACAATAAATATTATGCTACCCTCATATTGGCCTGGGACAATTAAATCATTGGAATGTCTGCTACCCAACTAATGGACACTAAAAACTAAGCTGTCAACACATGTATTTAATCAATGATATGGCGGATCAATAATCGTCCTCAGGGTAAATGTAATCGACTCCTGATTCAGCAGATAACAAGACAATTATCACCTTTCTAATTTGACCAATTACAAACAATTAATTACAATTTGCATGAAGAAAAAAATTAAAAGGATGAAAAGCTTAGGCCAACAAAAGTGCAAATTACCTCCCTTAGGTCATGAAAGAGAGAAAAGTCATCAAAATAGCTTCGTTTATCAGGATCCTTCTATGTATAGATTAAGTTATATCTAGAAATGTGTTTCTTTCACATACTAGTACATGGCAGTGATAACTTGTAGCTCAATCTGTTACTCAGTCACTCAGCACCAGTCAAAAATATCAAATATCAATAAATCTCACAAACCCTCACACACACACACACGACCATGCAATATCATTCTGGATCAAAAATGGATAAAGGGGTTGGAAATTAGATGTCGAGATTATTCCCCATGATTCGGCTTGTGTAACAGATTTTACACTAGAGCACCAAAGCAACTTCAACCTTCATTCATGGGGAGGGTCGAGTATTTTTTCCCTGATCTACAGTGGGAAAATTCCTCGACTGTGTTGGGGGGGTTCTTCGATGTCTGTAATCTGAAGATGATCCTGATAAACTCAGGATAACACTACATTTAATCACTTTTTAAAGGTGTATGTAGTCAAGGCTGTAGACTCATTTCTTTCCTGTATTACAGTGCTAATTTAATTTGACAATTTACATTCTAAGTAGATAAACAAATTTTGTCGTACTTTTACATGACAGTCTAAATACAGGGATCCACATGCACAGGCTCAGTGCTTTTGTGTGGCCGAGAGCTTCATACTTAAATGTGATTTATGCGAGAAATGTATTCCGTTACTGCATTTTTAATTCAAACATTTAACCTGAGAACTGTAAATAATCTAAAAAAATAAAATAATCCCATTTACTACACGGTATGATTTCAAAATTAAACACAAACTGTCTGTCGTCTGTGAAGAAAACTGTTTGCCAAAGAAAATGAAAAGCAACAATACAATATTTAATGAAAGTAACTTTTTCATAATATACTTTTTTTTTAATAAACTGAATAAAACCTACATATTTGCAACATTGAATTGGGTATAGAGCAAAATCCAGGAGGTAATTTATCTTAATTTAGTGTGATAGAGATCTGACAAGTTACATACAATAATATGGGTCAGTATATTATTGGACACTTGGTATGAATGTAGTTGGGATGGGGCAAATAGTTAGTCCACCCACTTGGAAAACTTAAGACCCCTGAGAAAAAATCTTTTAACATGTTGGTGAGAATTGACCCTGAACAGCTGGGAGTGACCACTGATGACCAGCATTCAGGGCCTTCTGAGGAAGTTGGGCCCCTTATAACTGACCAGGGTCAGAGAAAGCATGGTCACTGTAAATTTACAGCCTATAATATAAAACATCAGACATCCTTGACATTTTGGAGGAAATCCCCACAGCCCATCCGACCAAAACTTGCAATTTATTTCCTTATTTCCTGTTTCCAGTATCATATAAAGATATTTAGCTTTTTAGGTATTTTTAAAAAATCTACAATTACAGTTTTTCAAAACCAAGAGTTAATTTTCTTTGTCAAAATGAGCTCTTTTGAAATATTGATTAACAGTAAATCTTCAAAAGTCTTCATGAAGTCTAAATTATGACTAAACAGAAAATGGGGTAACTGTGTATCACCAATCAAAGAAGTATTCTACAATCTAATTGCAATAAAATTTACATCAATTCAAAAGTAGATTCAGAATAAATATTATTCTATCATCACTGGGAGAAAAAAAAAAAATCATCATATTTTTGGATATCTTAATCAATACCAAATGAGGAATACAGAAAAATGTCAAATTTACTGAAATTGGGACAACATAAAATAACTACCAAATTGTAATACTATACAACAAACATTAGTTCAGATGTGTAAACAGTTTTTTCCCCCCAGTCAACTAAGTATTAAGATTTTGTAAATTACCACTAAAAATGACATATAATTCAGTCTGCATTAAATAAGTCATCTAAATATTATGGTCATCCCTTATCAATACCTGTAGTTACCTGTTTATCTTGACACAGAGTAAAGCTTCCTGACAATTGATTGGCTTTTACCTAGGTGTGTAATTGACCACTTCCTTACAGGTAAATGCTCCTAATTATCAAGACACTAATGGTCAGTCTGCAGAAATGCTGTCCAAACAAAAGATCACAAAATCCGTTGGAGCCAATCATTGACCAGTTGACCAATGCTTGCCGTTTTAATCTCTGTTTAATCGGCCACCAGAATACCCTGGGGAGCTGGTCAATCGAGAAAAAACCGCGGGAATTTGCACAGGTAAAGAGCCTTTTCGCAGGTATGAGAGATCATGGAATTTATTGAATTAGAATAAGATATCATGATAAGACCAGTACGAATCATTTAAAAACTGGGCAAAATTAATTCAGACATAAAATTATGCTAGCAAAGTTTATTCATATATGACAGGTCGAACGTGCAAACGCGTACCGCATACCTGAAACCTTATCAGCATAACAAAAGTCGATCACAGTCACACGGGCACAGATTGTGATGACTGCCTAGTTCAAGGGGTGCGGAGGAATAGGATATAATTTTCAACATCAGTCTTGACTCTTTAATTTCACGGAGAGGAAATATCACATATCAGCATATCATGGTCAATTCTATATTTTCCTCAAAACGCGCACCTGCAGTTTTTACAGGCGAAAACTGTCGCAAATAACAGGAATTGAATAAGTTAACATATATAATCCAATAATTGCTTAAAATGTCTACATTCTGATGTGGTAGTTGTAATTTGTTCCCAACAATCACTTTTAAATTCTTGAAAAAAGGACTGAATTCACCGTTCCGCAAGAACAGGTATTCTACTGTAGGTAAAACACACCAACAAACTTGTAAACAAATACAAGACACGCTCCCTACGAAACGACGAATTTTCCAACGAAACACATTTTTAACTGCAGAAATTGACGAGATTTTAATCTAATTTGTTGTCAAGCTTTATAGGATAATAGAGAGACAAACTTGCCAGGAATTTGCCTAGGAAGATAACCCCCTACAACTTCTAAGCCACATGGTTCGCAGCCCAGCCATTCGGGTATTCAAGCCTCGTAGCGTCCCTTTAATTTCCAAGATTTGTATATATTTCTGCGTTTTTAAA